CAAATAATTTTCTCCAGAATTCAAAAAGAAATAGAAAATAATGATTAACGACAGTTGTTTAGGCATGTGAATTTATTAAAATTGTCCTTCTTTCCAGTCCCCGATTCAGGCCTCCTTACTGAAACTACAGCAACCGGAGCTGAACAAGTTAGCTTTGGAATGTTTCTTATGTAAGTTTCAGCAGAACTTTGTAAATGTACATGTGATTTTCTTCTTTTGTAAACAAGTCTTTCTCTTTATTATAACAAAAATCTTAAAATATTGATTAATAGAAGTTCATGCAAAATAATCTTGTTTTTATAGGCATAATGAAATTTATGGGAGATTATCCCATGGGATCTAGCCAGACTGAAGTAGACTGTGCTCTCAAAATTCTAAAAGTAAGCAACGTTTTCTTTAAAAAAAAAAAATGCTAGTCTACTTTATATAGTTGCATTTTATATGGAATGTTCCAATAATTACTGACATTTTTGATAGACTTGCCACAAATACCCAGAATTAAGGGATGAGGTTTACTGTCAGCTTTGTAAACAAACCACCAGTAACAGAAGCATGAAGCCGTAAGTAAAAGCCAGATTTTATATACCACCTTATCTTAAATCTCATAGCCAATAAAAAACAAGAAGAAGAAGAGTGTAAGATTTTACGTAGATGCTAAACAGATAATTATAATAAGTAAAATTATATACGTAATTGAATAATTTTTTTTTTTTAATTGTAGGAAGAGTTGCATCATGGGATGGCGATTGTTTGCCATTGTTGCTTGCTACTGTGATTGTACTGAATCATTGAGGCCGTACCTTTTTAAATACCTGGAGACCACAGCCTCAGACCCCATGAGGACCTATAGTGGGGCTGCATCTATATGTCTACAAAATCTCAGAAAAACATTCAAATATGGAGGACGCAAAAATGTTCCCCTCCAAGAGGAAATCCGAGCTTTAGCTGTAAGCTTTTTTAATTTCTCAAGATTTACATTCACTCAGATATTAAAAGAATTTTAATTATCATTTATTTATTTATTCAGAGTCAAGAAAATTTCACTGAACTTACATATACTATACATTTTTTGTAGAATGGCAGGATTTCAAAGAGATTTGCATTCATCTTTAGTGGTTGTGAAAAAGAAGGAATGGTTCAAATCAAGCCTTGCACGGTAATCTGATGTCCTGCCTATTTTTGAACTCTATTTCGTGGATTGTCCTGTTAATAGGGAATTTAACAAGAGCACTTCAGATAATAAAATTCTGTTTTGTGTTTTTTTTAGGTTGTTAGAGATGCTGTTGAGGAGATTTGTTTGAGGCTGAATATCAGCGATAGTGTGGAAATAGAGGAATATACTCTGTTTTTGAGAACAAGTAAGTGGTTGTCAATAAGGGTTTTTTTGAATTGGATTAGATTTGAATATAAGATCAAGTTTTGAGTTACTATAGTGTAAAAATTTGATTTGTAAATTGTAATTTAAATTTACGACTAACATGCATTGCTATTTAAAAAAGTAGAAACATATTAAGATTGTAATTGGATTTTCAGAGGAAGACATGATGGGTCCCCCGGTGTTTAGTAGACTGAAGCCTGAGGAATATGTTCTGGATGTGACTGCAGACCTTCAGCGGAACAACCTCAGTTATGATCTTGTCTTCCAGCGGACTGTATGGTATTTCCCTCTCCGGCCCACAGACAACATTCTCTACAATGAACTGATGTTCTTCCAGAGTCTTCCTGATTACATTGAAGGTCTCGTCGTGGTCCTCAAAGAGGGAAGGCTAAGCCATCGTGATGAGGTATATATATATAGCCAGAATTGATGTTGCTTTAGCAGTAACTCAGCCATTTCTTTAATACAGGGTCATAGTTAGGTCTTGCAAAATGAGATGTCAAGAGATTATATTTGCTAGTACATGTACAGTACTGGTACACAAGTTTCAATTTCTAAGTCGGGAATATAGCTTTAAATAAAATGATGTCATTTAAGTAGTACATGTAATAACAGGGTATTTTTTTAAATCATAAAATATCTTGCTATTAGCATAATGTATCAGTAAATGAAGACTACAAAGACATTTTCTTTGGGAACAAATTTGCACCATTTTACAATGAATATACATGTAATTTTGTAGGAGGACATTGCTGTTCTAGGAGCTTTACTACACAGGGGCTATGACAGAGTTGGCATGCCAACCATGTAAGTGGTGTATTACAACAAATAAACATACTACATGTAATCAACAAGTAAAAGAAATGGTATGGAAGGTACATTACATGCCTACATTCTGTTTAATTGTAGGAAAGATTTGCCATACTTAATTCCCGAGACAGTACGTAAAATGCCAGATTATCATCAGCAGCAATGGCTGAACAGAATTCATGCTAACATGCAGGATGTCATGCGTAGAAGTCCACTCGAGTGTAAAGCTAGATTTGTAGGCAAGTGCAATTGAACATCACTTTTACTTGAATTATTATGCATATAAAGTCAAAATACATTGGTTTGAATAATATGCACTGTGAATCAGATTTCTGGATCAAGCAGTTAAAAAGAGTTCATATTTTACAGACATTCTTTCTCGCTGGCCATTATTTGGATCCACATTTTTCAGTATAAGGGTAAGTTCTTAATTTCCTATGCCTATGCTAATTTTAGAAATCTTCTCTCTTCATTCGTTGGCTGTTGGAACATGTAATAAATTTAGAGTAAAACATTTTCGGAATGTGAACTCTTCCTTTTGGCAGAATCCCCCAACCCAGCCAGTCATAAAAGGAGAGTGCATTCTGGCTGTAAACAAGCGTGGCATCCACTTTCTCAGCTTGGAAACACATGTAAGTAATGGGGAATCATTCTTCAATATTATTCAGTCTATTTCAGAATTTTTAATCATATGTTAAAAAAAAACCCCCCAAAATTATTGATGTTTCATTCTTGTAGGAAACATTCCTGGACTATTCATTCAGTGAAGTGTTGTCAACGCGGCGTTATCGTAGCGACAGTGGGGATAATTTCCTTGACATGAAATTGGGCAATTTAATGGTGCAGAAAATTGTCAGAATTGAAACAAATCAGGTAAGAAATAAAAATTCAGTTAGAACTCAAAGCAGAGAAAGCTAATTTTTCAAATTGTTGATGTCAGCCAGATAGCCTTCCAATTGAACTTTTTTTTTTGTTCCTGCAGGGATCTGATATTTCCAATTTGATTGGTCAATACATGCAGGTAATAAATCGACACAAAAAGCGGCCAAATGAGAAGATGAGCCTTCAACGTTACCATTGACAGTGATTGGTTCATATCATTGAACTTTCACCCCAATGTACAGAGCTGTGTTAAACAAAACCACTTATTGTATTCTGTGATATATTTAATATGTGCTTCATTTATAGAGTGCAAACACAGATGTATAGTTACCCTGTGTGTATAGTCATATACTACTTTGGGTATGTGTATGACATAAGTTACTATCCTGTGTGTTTAAGACAGTAATTATGCTTATGCTGATAGAGGACTTGTAGACAAAATTTAGCTGTGTCTTGAACAAGAAATCTCATGCAAAGTATTAGATTTATACAAGTATATTCAGAGCACTGTAATTAATTCTGTAAATCACCAAGTGTCAAAAACTGCAATGGAAATGAATCAAAATGTGTAAATAGCAGTTTGGAGATTCTATTCAGAAATAAATGCATGTAATTACGGGTTTTCCCCCCTCTGGATGTTGGTTTGGAAGATTTTGTTTCATTTATTTTTTTCATTTTCCCCAAGTACACCCTCTCTCAGTTTATGTTTGTTAGGCCCATGTAAATATTGTGTATTCCTGTTTTGTACAGATGTGATAAAGATGTATAATTTTCAAATATATTTTGTATATTTGTTAACATTTTGAAGGACAGAACAGAGATTGAATCTGTTCTGTTGAAGCAAAAGTGCTACGTTTCAGACATTCCACTGTAAGTTACTAACAGTAATACAGAATTGTACAGATACTGGTGGGTGGTTTTGTATTGAAGTATCCCGTGTGTGACTATTTGAAGTTTCATAGGTGGCATAATATAAGCATGTACAGTTTATATACACAGTCTATATAGATGTATGTAGCTTTACTCCCTTTCTTGCACATGCTCTGGATGGTCATTTTTGGTCTTTCCAGAGTATCTCTCACTAGCAGTACCTTGCTTTTGATATCTGCAACCAATATCAGCCTATTTTTTCACCTGTGAAAGCTGGATTTGACTATGACTACTTTACTGGTCACATGATGAACTATAGATTATCGGAGAACCATTTATTTATGCACCACCAAAGTAGTTTCTGCTAGTACGATTCAGTGTTCATTACAAGACGAAATCAAAATCTGCCAGATCTGAATGACTTTACATTTATCTGTGTTTGTAGTCTTGATGTATGTGCAATCACATGTACTCTATATAAAAAATTCATATCATTTTTATATATACAATTTACATATCAAAAATATTTCTATAACATATTTCTGACATATATTTTTTTTTTATATTTTCATGATGAGTAATAAACCATGAAATATTATATGGATCTCTTTTTTTCTGTTGATTTTTGTGTGACTGATATAAAGCTCTAACTACCCTGGGTCCAGAAATTTGTAGAGCCTACACGAGATTCAAATGTAGATTCAGATGTAGAAAGCAGCATATAAACAGTGTAAAACAGGGGTCTGGCATTGTATTTGATGGATGACTTTTTCTCTGCTTGATAAAATGTACTAAAATCAGAAGTATGACTAGTAAGGAATTGACAAGGGGAGAAAAAGGGATTTAAAAACTGGCAAAAATATAGGTTATGAATTATGTGATTTAGAGATTGGGGCAAATTATTGGAAATGAATTACATATGATGGAAAACAGCAGGGACACAAATATTACATAACTGTGTTTATTAAATTTATACACAGTTTTAAATGTTTGTTTTCTACCACAATATATGTGTGTAACAGTAAGCATGCTTGTTATAATGTAATAAGATGAAACAAAAGACAGTCAATGAGATTTTATTTTATCTTCCAGTAATGGTAATACAATGCTTTTCCATGATTCATGCCATCTTATCTTCTGAAAGCTTTGTAAATTATTTCTCATCTGTGATAACTGTTTTTTTCTTCCTTTATAATCAACCATTAAAGTCTACCAAGAGAAAAATAATATGAAAAAAAAATTTAAAATACAAATAGAATATTTGTTATAATGAGGACATCTACAGATCATTACAGTGCTTGAGGGAAACATGTACAATGCTGGTAATCTCTGTACTTCGTCAGAAACAGATCATGTCAAATGAAAAGTAAATTTGTCATATCAAAATACACTTTACCTTTAGCTGCTGACAAAGTTCTTGAGAGTCTTCAAAAATCAAGCCATTCTGTCCATGTTCTACCAGTTCTGATATGCTGGAAAAAAATATTTTGATCATTTCTAAAAATAGAACAAAATTGACAAACATGCCTACAACCACAGGGTCAGTGGTTGTGTAGCCTTAGCAGAGGTTCACAAGAAATTCAGTCCTTTACCAATTGAACTTGAGAGCACAGACTGGAAGACCACATCCGAACATATCCACAACTTTCATAGGAAGGTCAAGGCCACTGGAAGAGGCATGAAGACATATTCCTAGGTCTGCAGCCCCTATCAGGGAAAATAATTCACACTGAAACACTATTTGATACTTATCTAAGAGATTACTATGTACAGCTTCAACTTTCCTTAATTTCATTTTGTTTTTCAATTATAAATTTAGGTTGCTTTCTCAGCAGTTTGGGGGGGGGGGGGGGGGGCAAGCAAAAATTCCTTGACAAGCAATAAAAAAGGGTAGTTATTGGGGAGGCACCTCCACACAAAAACTTTGTTTTCTATAGCATACAATATATATTGGCAAAATTATTGGGGGGGGGGGGGGACCTGGTTTATAATGTTATCAGTCAGTAATTATGTGTCTGTAAATAAAAATACATGGTGTTCCTGATAGTGTTTTGAGTATACTGAAGAAAAAAGTTAAAATCTTTTAAAGTATTTACCTAAAAGTTTAGGATAGTCTTCTGCCTCTAACCAAGGTAAACAAAACTTAACTCTACTCCATTTGTGTTTTGCTATTTTGTTTCTGTAAAATTCTTTCTGTGGTCCTTTTCCTGTAAGAAATTGAATACATTGATTAAGTGGAAAAGTGTTAGTGAGGAAAGGGATCTACAAAGCAAGCACTTGACTCCTCTTATTCAATATGAATAAACTTATCTGAATTGAAAAAATGAAGAAAAAAAATAGACATTTACATGTATAATATATTTAATGCTCTGATCTAGAAGACTCACCACACATAACAGGGCCCTTTAGTATTCTTATGTCAATAATCTTGACCTTTGATTAAACAGCCTCAAAACCTATAGGATAGGGTTCTTTTTATTATAAAGTGAATAAAATACCTCATTTGAAGTTAACTCCATTTTTTTGTATCGCATATGAAAATAAACTATTTTGATGTAGATCTTTGAATAAATTCCCATAAAATCTATAGGTGTCATCCTCTTCTCTATGTAGCAAAAAAGTTCTTTTTAGTTTAAACAAAAAGATTACTGTTCTACACCACTTAAATATGTAACATCAGTATCAGTAGTTTTGACCTTTGTGGTTTTGACCTTTACTAAAGAAATGTTCATTTCTAACCAATCTTTATCTGTGTAGTTTATATACTCTAGAGGTACATTTTTCCTTGCAGGATTAATTTACACTATGTATGCGGCCACAATTTCTTGTGGAAATTTGTTCCAGCATACTTGAAATGCATTTAAGACATGCAAAAGGCTATCCTAGAAATCTGTGTAATTTTCTACCCACTGACTGAATAGAAATAATGCTGCTGCGGAATTATGACCCCGTGGAAAAAAAGTACATTTACATCTATACTGAATCACAATGGTAATTTAAATATTTCCCTTTGAACCAGTTATTTATTGTAAACTCTGAGTTTTTTCCTTCATTAGTAAATAAGTCTAAAAGTAACAGCACGTTAATGTTATTGCACTATAATGGATGTATCAATAATCTGAGCTTTGACTTTGATTTTTTCCAAGTGACCCCAAAAACTGTGGGTAATTTCCTCTAACCTATCTTCACCTATGTTATAAGTATATAAAAATATACCAGTTATCACGTCACATAAATGTACAATGTATAATGATAATATCAACTTTTTTTTACTTTTGACCTTGACCTTTAACCAAGGGACCAAGTGAAAGTGTTCTCTAATCATCCTCCTTCTATTTAGTAAATCTGAAATCTGTAGGTTGAACGGCACTAAAATTATTGCTTCACATAAAAGTGTTGACAGACAGATGGACTGATAAGCAGAAGGACCTGGTGATTACTATAGGGCACCTGCTTTCTGGTGTTGGGCCTTAACAACTCCTTACCTGTTATCACACATATTAACTGTGGAAGGGAATTTTCTTTTTTCGAGGCTTCATCATACTCTACAAGTACAAATAAAGGTCATTTGTGACAGTGTTACATAAATAACTGTGTAATGTACATGTAACATTATTGTTTGTCATAAAAATACAGTAAAACATGCTTATAACAAAGTGCTAGGGAAAGAAATTCAATTCCTTTTTTTAATCAGATAATAATATACCAGGTACATGTACATATTGTGATATCTGATAAGTTCATATCTTTCATAACTACAGGGAAAAATCACTTTGCTTTCGGAGTGAATTCATTAGAAGCGTGTTTGCTGTAACCATATTTTACTGTAGGTCTTCCTTGAGACATTCAGTTTTTTTTGTATGTGCATTTCTGGCAGTAGTAGAATAAACATGCCTGACAAAGCTGATAAAAGGATTCCAAAATCTTCATCCGCTGTAAAAGCAAAAATATTCAGATTACCACAAGTTAAATTTGTATGGAAGATCACACATAATTTGGAATCACTTGTGTAACTCATGGAAGTCATGTTCAGTTCTAGCAGGTTTTAAATGTTGGTATTTTCAGGGATAAGAAAATATTGTCATTTTTTTTTTAAACCAAGACATTATTTTGCTATATTTTCCAATAGTTTTTGTACCTGTCCAGCTTGTGCTGCTCATTATCAGAGCTGGTCTGTCAGTCAACCATTCAGTTCTCCCACCCTTTGATTGTGTTGTAAATGCTGTGCTGTTTGGTAGATCACTGAAATGAATGTATGGCATGACTTGCTTTTATTTATACCCTTGACATATGCATTGTGAATAGATTATCCAAGAGAAACACCAAATTCTATACTGACTTGTTGGTAAAAACTTCATACTGCTGTGCAAGTTTTGTAAACAGCTTGTGAGCTTCTGGTAGTGAAGTTTGTTGAAACATGTCTGCTGGTCTGTCATACAAGGTTTCAGCTCTGAAGATGGTAAGAAAAACACTGCCTTTTTGTAACCAAAATAGTCCAGTCATTTACATAATGCAAAGCTCTGGTTGTGAAATAAGGACTTAAGATGATAGAGGGTGCTGATTATTCAGGTCAAGACATAAAACAATGAAACCTTATCAACAAGGATAAAAGTTACTTGAAAGGGATTCATACCAATATATCAAATGGCATTTATAATACTTGCACCTGATATTCCAATTTTCTTTTAAATCCTTCTTCATTGCTTTTGTTACACAAATATTTACATCTGACATCCTCCCAAATGCATGTTCATACCTGTATTTGTAATTGATTATAAGAATGCATGAGATTTTTTACCTTAAATTCAAAAACTATCAAAGGCATATCATTTTAGAAACTGTTCAGTATTGTGAATATTACATGCATATAGTATACAGTATTTATTTGAAAAAAAAAAAGAAAATGATCACCAACCACTTCATACTGTTTCAGAAGTTGATAAATTTCATATATATTTCTTGCATATTCAAGCATCTTATCTTAAGTCTACATCATAATACATTAACTTTTTACATGTATAAGCACAAACCATTTGGAGAATCTGACCAATGAATGGTCATTTCCCAAAGAAAGGCCAAGGATGGTATAACCATAGTTATGCCAATCAACAAGCAGTTTACTCCCTCTCAATAAACAAACTACCCAGCACACTGCTATTGTAGGAATGGAAGGGGGATTCTGGAAAGAAATAAGAATAAAATTTGTCATTATTTAATGTCAGTGATATTTTTTAATCAGTACTAATAGAACAATTAAGGAATGAATTTAAAAGCTACCCAAGTTATACTGTATTACCTGCGTTGGGACAGTTTAAGCTTTATAAACTGCGAAGTGGTTTATGAAAAGGAGTAAACTGTTCCAACCAGGGATATACCAATATGACTTTGGTAGCTTTTAAATTTATTCCTAATAATTTCTTTTTCCATCATTAAGTGTAGAAAAAAGAAAATACCTCCTTCAAAAATGCCTTCAAATTGGTCATATTTTGAAAGTAACGTCAAGCAGATTGATACGTTTTTGACGTAAATCATTGTGACGTAGGCAACGATATAAACTAATTTTCTTATCCATTCAAATAACAATGTTACAACCAAAATCAAATGATTGAGACAATTACCATAAATTGTGATATATAAATCCTTAAAAAAAATACCTGTAAAAAGATAAATCCAGACTTTGGCAAGAGTAACAGCTTTATGCCAAGCGTACAGCTTTGGAACAAAACTTTAATAACATAACCAAACAAACAGGGTAGAGCTGAAATATATTGTTCAATTAAATCAAACATAAGGTAACTTATTGAAATTCTAAAATATGTAATACTGCTATGATTGTTGATAAGTACATATGTTTGACATGTTTGATAAAATGAAAAGATACAGGTGCCAATATTTTTGACTCATCAGTAAAAGTATACACCTGACCGTATATTCTGTATTTCATTTTATTCTTTTTCAACTTTGATTTAATTATGTTTTAAACTTAAAACCAAGAAAGAATAAGAATCATTCTAACCCTACCAAGACCAAATTATAGCAACCAAACCCACTCTTTAAAAATCCTGGCACTTCCACAAGTTCATAAAGTGTAATTCTCTTTGAATTCTTTATGATAGAATGTGGTGTTGATCCTGTAAAACATATGAATGAATGGTCAAAGCAATCGATTAATTTCCAAAAAGCCTTTACAACAATGCTTTTATGCATCGAGTCTTTCACAAACCTCCATAGCCAACAATATCCACGGAGAACCCCTCAGCCGCAAAGGACGATGCATGATACTGCATACGTGGACTTCTTCCAATGTCTCCAAGAACAACAATACATACGGAGTTCTTACCCCGTATCATATAATTAAAGATGAGATAAAGAAAGACAAATATTATTGGGCACCAGAGCAATACAAACCCAACAATTAGCATGGTATGACTATTTTTACACCCTGTCTTGTAGATTAATGAAATTATTGCATGCCCCTTCTATCCTGTAAAACTTTGGGGTGAAGGTCATAGTATAAAGAAATCAAATAAATGCTTTTAAGTTATTCATGCTTCTTTCCGTATATTGTAATTTAAGTGTTTTAGTTATTATACTATATTGGCTTTAAATTCTTGGTAATACAATTCGATACAATTGTTTGAACGTATTCAATTATTTGATATAAGCGATTAATGTAAACAAATATGGAAAAGTGCTAAGAGCCTTAGAGGGTGGACGGTAAATAAACGGCTGTGCATAGTGTTAGACAGTGACAGCCAATATGGCAGGAAGAAGAGGAGTTGCTGCCCTGGCACAGAAGAAGTTGCTAGTTCTTGTTGATCTAGATGGTGTCATGGCTGATTTTGAGGGACATTTTCTTACAAAGTGGAAACAGAAATATCCCGATGAACCATTTGTTGCATTGGAAGATAGGAGAACATTTTACCTAGCTGATCAGTATGAAACTTTAAAAGAAGGACTGAAGGTATAAAATGCAAATCACAGATTTTTGTCCAATCAAATCCATCAATAATTCTTTCTGTATTTTATTCCAGTTTGAGCTGTCAGACCACATTAAGAGGTACATGTATTTAGTTTTAATACAGCTTATCTGTGCACAAATTACATGCTTCTTTGGGCGCATTACATTTATAGTGCATTTTTGACACTGCAGATAGCACAATATTGTGCAAATTTAACAGACTGTGCATTTTTGAATTAAGTTTGTAGACAATAGTCATGTTGGTTTTCATTCTGCTATTCCATACATGATGAAAAAATATCAAATTCCTGCTCAAAATCCTACCTCCATCCCCTCTAATGAGAAAGGGAAATAGATAATTTAAAGATACTTGACATATTACTTTATATCATTAAGATAAATGTACAGTGAGGATGTTTAGAGATACATGCATGATAAAAAATGTAGCATTGTTCATTTTTGGACTACATACAAAAATATAGTTATTTACAAATGATTTTGCAATGGAACAGCTTAAAAAAGCTATGTTATGGGTCAACTGAATTTGACTTGAACTTTGTTGGTGATACAAAATACATCTTTGTATTTGAGAAACTTTGAAAACTGTTATTCATCAAATGAATGTGACTTGAACTTTAAGTCAGTACAAGTATAATAGTTCAAAATATGACATAATATATATCTGATTCATTATTTGCATATAATATATGCACTTTATTATATACCCAACTGTTTGTCACTCAGTTTACTGTTGAATTTATGCAATCATGTGACGGTGTGATCCGACGTTCCGGATCACCACACTGTGGTTTTCTGAATCCATGTCACCCCTCTCTGAAACTGATGACGTAGTACACAGATAAATGACGTTTTTATTCTCGCGTATCAAAAAGTTCCTTTACAAAATGGATTGTTTAATGGATAAAAGTTATGTAATTGATCCAAAAAGCTTCCTTTTATTATATTTTGCTAGTTGGAAAGGGGTATATAATAAATTTATCATTATAACAGTAACTTGATCATAAGAGTCGTATCACGTCTCGTTGACAGGCGCGGATCATCAGATCAAACGAGACGCTTCGCGTCTCGTTTGATCTGATGATCCGCGCCTGTCAACTTGACGTGATACGACTCTTCGGATCAAGTTACTGTTATAATAATATATATGTATATGCCTTTTAGATAGCTAAACACAACAGATTGTTGTCTATTCTGATCTTTATGGATTATACTGATTTACTGTTACTGTATCTACCAACACATTAAAATTGAAAAACCTAATATACTATAGTAATGCAAAATCTAATATATTGAATGCTTTTAGTAATGACACATTAAACTGTGAGTCAGAAACTTGAAAAATGCCATGAAAATTTTGTTTTTTAGCCAATGGTTAAATCTGTTTATGAGTCTAAAGGATTCTTCCGAGATTTACCTCCAATAGCTGGAGCTTGCAGTGCAGTTAAAGAAATGAATGAGATGGATGGGTATGAAAAGATTTTTCAGCATTTGACATAAAATTTTTGCCTTAGCCTAATAAAGCACATATTACCAGCATAAACGTATTAACTCTGGAAATTTTATCAAATGTATTAACATCATTGTCTTGAATTTAAGAGGATAAAATGTTTATATTAAATTTAGGGTTTAGCTTTTTACAATAATATATATATATATATACATGTGCCATTGCCTTTTTTACAGAGTAGAGGTGTTCATATGTTCAAGTCCACTCTTCTTCTACAAATACAGTGCTAAAGAAAAAGTAAGTTTTTTTAAGCTCATCTCCATGAAGTTGAGGGAGCATATGTAATACCCTTGTCTGCATCCCAAGTTACAGTTTTTGGAGTAGATTTCTTTCCATTGCAAGTACTTCTGTGTGCCTATATTAATCAGTGATGCATGGATGATGCATCTAGTATGTTTCACTGTACAAGTCAAGGTTTCAGATTTCAGCAAAAATATTCAATAAAAATAATCATGATAATATTTTTATAGCAGGTTAAAGTCTTTGGGGCAGGTTAAAGTTTTTGGAGGAGGTATCATTTCCAATTATAGATCTACAAGCCCTATGTTGACCAAACGTGCATTGATGATACATCTAGGGATGCATGCTACCAGATTTACTGGATCTGACCTACATTTTCTGGATGGGTGACCAGGTTAAAGTTTTTGGAGCAGGTTCATTCTTATGTAACTATAAGCCCTTAGTGACCATACTTGCAAAGATGATACTCCTAGGCATGCTCATCACCAAACTTGCTTCAGATGCTGGATTCAACCTACATTTTCTGGCTGAGCAACCAGGTTAAAATTTTGGAGCAGATTGATTCCACTGGTAACTTTTAAGGCCTACCTGGACCAAACATTGAGGATTTAAACTACATTTTCTGGATGAGTGTTGAGATGAAAGTTTTTGGAGCAGGTCTATTCCTAAGTACATGTAACTATAAGCCCTACCTTGACAAACTTAGATGGATGATATATCTAGTGATGAAGCTACCAGGCTTACTTCAGATTCTTGATCTGACCTACATTTTTCTGGATGAGTGACCAGATTAAATTTTTTTTTGAAGAGGCTTATATCCAGGTTACTATAAGCCTTACCTCAAAACACTTGCATGGACGATGCATCTAGGTATGCATTCTGCCAGACTTGGTTCAGATGTTGAATCTTGCTTATATTTTTCAGGTTATTAAACAGAAAAAAATTTTGAAGCAAAGCCATTCTTTACTAAAAAACCTACCCAGACCAAACTTGCATAAATGCTGCATCAAAGGATGCACACTACCAGAATATTTGTTCAGTGTAAACATTGCCTTAATCAAATATAACATTCGTTTAGATGAGCTATGTAATCTTTGAAAACCTTTTTTTTTAAATTTCTTTCAGTAAAATGCAGTAATTTTGATTCATTAAGTATGATTTTGTAATGTAAAGCAATTTAAAGTAGCTTATTTCAGTGTGTACAATTTTGACCCAATGGATAAGTCATACATCTACTATCATTGTGTGTCAGTCAGTTCATCTGATTGTACATATATTTTAAGATCATCTGTCAATTTTTATAAGGCAACATTTTTTTAAAGATAAAATGTGAGTGGCACTTGCAAGCCATTTAGAGTGTTCCCATCTGCAGCAGAACCACTCTTATCAAAGGTTTAATATATGTTAAGGTTTAAATACTGTACATGTGGAGAGTGGTAACACATGTATAATATAAAGCAGTCTCCTACTGTATGCATTTAAAAAATGAACCCAATTAATCTGCAAAAAATTATGAGATCCTAAAAAAAAACCAGAAGTCTCTGATGAGACTGTAGCTCTACTGGTCTGTTTGTATAACAAAAGAAAAGTAGCACTTGGATTTGAAACATTGCAACAGGCAACAATAAATAGAATTATGTATCTTAATGTAGTCTACTTCTGTGCCAAGTTGTACTGAAATCAAATGAAAACTGTAGGAGGAGTAGCGTTTTGAAAGTATTTCAGGGAAATTTCTATTTTTTAGTAACCATGACAACACCATTCGCCCAAATTAAAAAAAACAGAAATACATATTATGTATCGTAGTGTATTCTAACTGTGTGCCAAATTAGATTGAAATCAGACCAAAATTGTAGGAGGAGTAACGTTTAATGGGAATTTCACAAAAATTTCTATTTTAAGTAACCATGGAAACACTGTTCATCGAATTCAAAAACCAATGCAATAAATTATGTATCTTAGTATAGTCTTCTTGTATGCCTAATTATATTAAAAGCAGACTAAAACTGTAGCAGGAGTAGTGTTTTAAAGGAATTTCACAGAAATTTCTATTTTTAGTAACTATGGCAACACCGTCCATTGAATTCAAAAACCGATGCAATAAATTATATATCTTAGTGTAATCTACTTGTAAGCCAAGTTATATTGAAATCGGACCAAAACTGTAGGAGAAGTAGTGTTTTAAAGGAATTTCACAGAAATTTCTATTTTTAGTAACCATGGCAACACTGTCCATCGAAATCAAAAACTGATGCACTAAATTATGTATCTTAGTGTAGTCTACTTGTGTGCCAAGTTATATTGAAATTGGACCAAAACTGTAGGAGGAGTAGCATTTTAAAGGAATTTCACAGAAATTTCTATTTTTAGTAACCATGGCAACACCGTCCATTGAAATCAAAAAACCGATGCACTAAATTATGTATCTTAGTGTAGTCTACTTGTGTGCCAAGTTATATTGAAAACGGACCAAAACTGTAGGAGGAGTAGCGTTTTAAAGGAATTTCACAGAAATTTCTATTTTTAGTAACCATGGCAACACCGTCCATCGAAATCAAAAACCGATGCACTAAATTATGTATCTTAGTGTAGTCTACTTGTGTGCCAAGTTATATTGAAATCAGACCAAAACTGTAGGAGGAGTAGCGTTTTAAAGGAATTTCACAGAAATTTCTATTTTTAGTAACCATGGCAACACCGTCCATCGAAATCAAAAACCGATGCACTAAATTATGTATCTTAGTGTAGTCTACTTGTGTGCCAAGTTATATTGAAATCGGACCAAAACTGTAGGAGGAGTAGCGTTTTGAATAATTGTTTACAGACAGACGGACAGACAGACAGACAGACGGACGGACGACGGACACCTTACTATCGCATAAGCTCTTCTGGTCTCTGACCAGTAGAGCTAATAATGAATGTTCATTCATGATGATTTATTTGCAGTTTGCATGGGTTGAGCATTATCTAGGGAAGAATTGGATAAATAAAATCATACTGACCCGGGATAAAACTATTGTCAGTGGACACGTGCTGATAGATGATAATGTGAAAATCAAAGGTACCTGATTCAGTCACTGTAGTGTTCCAGTTCTATCTCTTTATGAGATGCCTTAAAACATCAAGTAAAGCATTTTCTTCCAAATTTTTCAGGAGCTGTTGATCCTCCATCATGGGAACATATAGTTTTCACAGCTTACTACAATAAAGACATGAACCTGAGGGGAAGGAGACGGCTAGACAATTGGACAGATGGATCATGGAAGGATCTTATCTTAGACTTCAAGAGAAAACTTTGACGACATTCACCTATTAGGAACTAAATACGTAGTTATGCAATTACCATATTCTGTTTATCTATGCAGGGATTTTACATAATTATATATTTTTTGTTAGGTCTACATGTGATATTAATTGTAAAACCTATACATGTAATTGTATTTGTTTTGGTTAATATTTTGTTAACAAATACTTTCATTGTCATTCTTTATGAGAAACAGTTTTCAAGGTTCCTGGATTCAGAGGAACACATTAGCTCATCTTAGGAAAAAAGAAAAGAGATCTAGATCTAGCCATTTTTAGCTCATCTGAGCTGAAAACTCAAGAATTTCTGATCACAAGTTGTCCATTGTCTGTCTTTAAACTTTTCACATTTTCCACTCCTTCTCCAGAATCACGGCACCAATATCAACAAAATTTGCCACAAAGCATCCTTGGGTGAAGGGGGATTCAAATTTGTTCAAATAAAGGGCTATGCCCTCTTTCAAGGGGAGATAATTAAGAATTAGTGAAAATTTGATGGCATCTTTTAAAAATCATCTTCTCAAGAATCACTGGGCCAAAAAAGTTGAAACTTAAAAGAAACCTTCTTTACATAGTGTAGATTCAAGTATATTCTTATCATGACCCTTGGGTAGGGTGGGGCCACAATGGGGATAAAAATTTTACACAGGAATATATATGAAAAAATCTCCGAAAAACCCTTCTTTTCAAGAACAGCAATGCCATGATTAGTCATATTGATATGGAAGCATCCTCAGGTAGTGTAGATTCAATTTGTTCAAATCATGACTCCTGGGGTTTGGGTGGGGCCACAATGGGGGATTTATGTTTTACATAGGAATATATAAGAAAAAATCTTGAAAAATCTTTGAAGAACAGTCAAGCCATGTTTAGTCATATTGATACCGAAACATCTTCAGGAAGTGTAAATTTAAATTTATTCAAATCATGGCCGCCAAGGGAAGGGTGGGGTCACAATGAGCTTTCAGAGTTTAACATAGATGTGCATGTATAGGAAAAAATCTTTTAAAATCTCTTTCTCAAGAAAAGCAAAGCCATGTTTAGTCATATTGATATGGAAGTATCTTCAGGTAGTGTAGATTCAAGTTTGCTTAAATTATGACCCTGAGGGGTAGGGTGGGGCTACATCTATAAAAATCATGACATCTTTGGGGGGGGGGGGTAAGGCAGGGTCTCAACAGGGACCAAAGTTTTTCGTAGGAATATATAATAGAAATTTGAATCAACACTTTGTCAGAAAGCTTTCACAGAAGTTTCATCTGTTTTGGCCCAGTGGTTCTTGAGAAGAAGATATTTTAAGACACCTACCTTATTTGTGATTTTTCTTGATTATCTTCCCTTTCAATAGGCCCTGGACCTTCATTTGAACAAATTTGATTCCCCTATACCCAAGGGTACTCTTTGCGATGTTTGGTTGAAATTGGCCCAGTGGTTCAGGGGAAGATGAAATTGTGAAAGATTATGATGACGACAAAGGACAAATTTTGATCAGAAAAGCTCACTTGAGCCTTCTGCTCAGGTGAGCAAAAAGCAAGACATCCACCCCACCCTTCTCCAGTTGTGTCCCTGACCATCCCTAAATGTCCTTGATGATGTCCTTGAATTATTAAACATAGGTAATCAAAGAATGTTATATTTGTGTTTAAGTAAGGCAACGTCCCACATTAAACTAATAATCCATAGTGTGCATCCCTAGATGCAACATTAAAGCAATTTTGGTCTGATAGGACTTGCAGTTACTTGAGAATGGACTGGTTCTAAATAATTTAGACTCTTCACTCATCATGAAAATAGACTTTAAATTCAGCATCTGAAGCAAGTTTGAGTGTTCATCCCTTGATGCATCATTTGGTCTAAGTTGGACTTGTAGTTACACTGGAATGAGTCTGCTCCAAAAACTTTATCCTGTTCACTCATCTGTAAAATGCAGCTCAAATCCAGCATCTGAAGCAACTCCCTTGATGCATCATCCATGCAAGTTTGGTTCAGGTAGGCCTTATCATTGTTATCATTCGCAGTTTATTTACTTCCCACACCATATACTGTAAACCAACTATTATTCGCATCATCTTTTATTCGCGATTTGTTAGTTTCAAATCAATCTGTGTTGATTAATTTCCGCGACTGAGGAAATATCCTCTACAAAATATTTGGTTCACAGCGATTAATATTCGCGAGTTAAGTAGGTCCCGAAAATCGCTGATATATCTTGCTCGGGAATAAAAGTTGGTTTACAGTATACATGTATATATTAAAACTGAGTTTATCTGTGTCACATTAACATCTTTTACACATCACGGTATCCAAAAAAATATATGCTCTAATTCAAACAGTAAGCATAATTAATGTTGACTTGGAATTGATTTTAGTGTCAATCCCTATAAGAGTACACATATCTATTACTGGCACAGCTTCTGGTTATAACAACACACAATACAGAAGTTTCGAAAGGTAGAATTACCGGTATTACTTGTTTTGTTTTTACATTCATCCAATCTAACTACTGTAATAACGATAGAACAATAAATTTGATATCAGTTTTTATTTATGAAAGCTTCAATATTTTATACCAAATTATAAATATATTAACAATAAATAATAACATTAACAAAGTAGTTCATTAATATAAATACAAAAAAACAAATGTTGGTCCTCTGAAATAAAATCTGAATATCAGATACAAAATCTGAAAGAGTAAAGCTCACATGAATGCCAATGAAGAGAATGATTTAATCTGACTAGTGATGCCCTTAATGTGCATAGACTGCCTATTAGCTGTAACATTTCAAATGAAATGCATCCTATTTCAGCAACAATGACATAAATTAATTAGTACAAATATATATACAGAATTTAATGATGCATTAAAAGTTTTCCCTAAAATTCATCAAATTCATGTTTGCAATGCCTTGGTAATTTAGTCAAATTTTTCACTGAATCAATTGATCAAGATGCTACAAATTGTGTGCTAATATTGCAAGTTACTACCTCTGTGGTCTTCTGTCCAAGACATTTAAAAACTTCAGGATCTCTTGTGGAATACCAAGTATACCTTTATAGAAAGTTTACTAGAGCTTATTACCTGTAAGTAATCTTTTAACATTCAAAAACAAAATGAGATTCAATTTTCTGGTTACTGACAATACATCCCACAATAACATAAATATATGTATATTACAACCATATTTCCATTTGAACTTTACAGTTCAAAGTGAACACAATGCTACGTAACCATTTTTGGTTACAGTACTAAGGGGAAAGTTTTCATTGCCACAAGATCAAAATAAACATGTTACATTATTTTCTACCCGAAAATATCTTATAAAAGCAACTATTATTAAAAAGAAAGTGTGTAAATTTCCTATGTTACAATCTCAAGTTTAAAATAAGCTTTTACAAGAAAAATTAAAACAAATCATATATTAACATTGCTGATTGCAGTAAATGTATAAATATCAAATGAACACAATTAAAATGGGAACAAAAAGCAAAGGTTGTATTTTGGCTTACAAAAGTTAAAATAATCAAGATAAGTATGCTGTATGAAAAAAGGTACCATACAATATGATGATGCATGTAAAGTGACAAGAGTACAAAAAAACCATACATATGATGTAAATGTAATAGCAAAATATGGCTAATGTAACCAGATAGTTGCTAGACATCTGTCTTTTATAAATGATTGTACTTCCCCTTGTTGTCATTCCAACAACAATACCATTGCTATGACCATGATACCACTGCCATTGAGAATACCAAAGCAATTGCTATGAGAATGATACCATTGCTATAAAAATAATGTCATTGCTATTACTATGACAATGATATCACAGCTATAGCTATTACAATGATACCCTTGCTTTAGCTATAACAATACCATTGTTATTTCTGTAAGACTTAGCCATTGAGTGTCAACAATCACTGTCTTTCCGCAGCAATTCTTCCTTATCCTTGTTAATTCGTTTTAGGAGGAACTTAGTATCCATCTTCTCCTGAAAAATATATATCATTTTTTTAAAAAGAGGCCAAAGTGTCTTAATAGTCACCTGAGTATAATATAACCCTGTAAAGGATCAATTGTATGATAACACAAAATAAACTTAAGCTTCAAAACAAGAGAAATGGGATGATAAGGGATCAATAAAATAGTTAATATGGCAATCAGAAACATTTTAGAAACTTGCCTGTATATGCCAATGCTATCTACACTCTATCACAAATTGTAACAAGACAATTGTTGTTCTTTCACATAAAACACAGTATTCACATAGTAAACCCAGCACAATCCCCATATCATTAGACTCCCCTGGTCTTTGAATAATATTTTACATACATATATCAGGGTTGGGGTCAATTACTTTAAAATGTAATTAAATACTTTCATGACAAATACATTGAAAATTTTGTTAATTACTCACAATTACATTGATTTATACAAATGTAATTAATTACTCTCATATATAAGGTATTTTTGTTTGATTTTTATTCATCTATTATTTACAAGTCAACCAAGATAATCAAACACTATGAGAGTACTTTCTTTATTGAAAAAAATCTTGTATAATTCTTCATTCAATTTACTTATCAATTATATTATTGGCAGAGATTAATTTGCACAGGTGAATGACAAAGGGGGAATAACTTCTCTTAAAGCACAGTAAAAATTTCCATACATGATCATGACAGAGCTCCACCCGATCTCAAGAACCCCGATTCAGGGCCATGAATTTCACAATGTAAAAGCACTCTTGCTCATCACAACCATGCACTTTGATTTCTGCTAAATATCAAGGAGCAGAGAAAAAGATTTTCAAAGGAATAATAATGCATTTTCACTATATGATCAATAAAGCCCCTCCCTGACACCAGAACTCCTGACCAAGGGGCCATGAATTTCACAATTTTGGAAGAGGCATCCTTGCTCATCATATCTATGCACTTAGTTTATCTGTTTAATACCCAGGAGCAGAGAGGATTACTTAACTATATGATCAATCGAGCCCTGTCCTGACACCAGAACCCCTGACCTTGGGGCCATGAATTTCACTATTTTGGTCTCAATGCTTATTTTAATCATGCCAACTTTGACTGCTTGAAGTCTAGGAGTAGAGGAAGATTTTTAAAGATTGCATTTATTTTGATGATTTTAAACCCATCTCCCAGAGAGGCAGGGACCATGAAATTCACAATCTTTGTTCCCCTTCACTCAAAGACATGATAGATGCTATATGCCAAAATTGGTTGAAATAAATTCAGCAGTTTTGGAGAAGAAGCTGAAAGTGTTAACACACAATAGTCGACAGGCAAGAACAATAACAATAACCTGAGTGACTGTTGTGACCTAAAAAGTGGAAAAATGATATAACAGTATACTGTATGTGTACTTATTAAAGTGAGATTCATATTTTAGCAGCTTTCGTGCAGACAATGATGTGCTAATTCATGAATACTGCTAAGACTTCATTAATAGATACAAGGCGTGGATGTATGTAGCTATAATTCATGATTATACAAATACATAACCCAATACCCAGTGATTGTGCAAAATTTTAAATACATCAATTTCTGTATACATACAGTAGTTCCTTCTTTATTCTGCTGAATAAAATTTGTAATTTCTAAACACCTTACCATTTTCAGGTCTTCCATTGCTATCTCCTTTTTGGTAGCATATCCACTTCCAATAACCCAGTAATAGTACATAAGTAACCTAAAATAAAATGTATGTCACTCATCAGCTATTTAAAAAAGTTTTGTCAGAACCTCTTATATCAAAACTATCAATTTTAATTTTTATAACATATTTGAATAAAATAATGAAATTAATATATAATATTCAATTTAAAAACTGATCACAAAATCAATAAGGAATAAGATTTACGGTAGACTATTTCTTCGTGTGGAAGGATATTTAGAAGGAAATTCTCAAAAGCTACACATGTGTTTTATTCAACATTTTGCAACTTTAGCCCTCCATATTTATATTCAAATAATTTTTTCATGTTATTGGAATATTCAATGTAGGTTTCAAGTAAATTTTAGATCAAATTTTACACATTTAATCAATATGCTTTGTCAAAAATTCAAGATCAATTGAACAAGTCAAGAAAAAATTACAATATTTTTCACCTATTACACTGTATTTTGACCCATATCTCAATATTTATAGCACTGATCCCAACTTTTACCCCCCCCCCCCCCCCCCTTTTGGGGTGTAGGGTTAGCTACAACAGTGGATCAAAGATTTACAAAAGAATTTATAGGAAAATTAAAAAAAAAAAAAAACTTTTCAAGATTAGCAGATTCTTCCAAGTTGTGAATTCTGTATCTTTTTCAAATTAATATGGACCCTGGGGTAAGGATGGGGCTAAAATCTGGGATCTAATTTTCTTATGCATGTAAACAGGGAGAAAAAAATCGTTAAAAAATCTTCTCCAGAACAACAAGGACGTATTAATCATATTCATATTGAAGCATCCCCATGTTAAGACAAGCTTCTTTAAGGTATAACTCCTTGGGGCTTGGGTAGGCCTCAATATAGTGCTGAAATTTTTTGTGGGAATACATGTAAAAAGGGAATTTTTTTTTTTTGAAATTCTGATGAAGATCAGTAGAGTCAGAATGATTCAAGTGAGCATAAAATGATCAGATTAAGTGGCAAAATCCATTAGCAGTAAAGCAGGTGGTCAGGACTATCAGTGTATCAAGAAAACCCAACTTAAAGTCCAAACTGTGATCAAGACCAAGACTGGAGAACTTGAACACGTGTCCAGTAAAAGTGACTGAAAAGTAAGTACCCAGTACAACTGACAGGACAAATGCCCAGTAAAAGTGACAGGACAAGTGCACAGTACATATCAAGTACAAGTACCCAGTACATGTACAATCAGTGTCAATTTATTGCAATAAATGTCTCACTCACATCAAAAGAATAAGGAGAGGAACCACGAAGATACCAGTCCCAATAAAGAAGAACACAGTCTGGGGTACTTTATCCCAGGAGTACACATTGTTTACTAAGCTGTAATACATCCTGTAGGAGTCATCACCATACAACCGAAAAGGGCCACAACTCTGGCTTGGCTGAATTCTGAAATGGATAATACAAAAAGTTAAAATTAATCATTACACAGTAAGACTTGGTAGTACATCTATATTAATTTTAATACATATCACAGCCAAATAGTAAAAATTTATGACCTACTTCCCAATCACATATCCTACAGGAATAACAGCACACATAAAAGACAGCAACAAGACTTTCATGAAAAGTGATGTGGACTTTGAGGTCTTGTACGGCCGGGACTCAGGGCGGCAGTTCTTAAAAAGATCAACCTACAAACAGAATGTAATACTTTTAGTCTTTTTATTTCTGGATTTGATAATCATTTCGGACTTTTGATTTTCTAGTTCATATATACCGTTTTGTTGAATATTGTAAAAATGCCTTACCTTTTTGACAAAAAAGACAATGACATTATGTAGTAGAGTAATGGCTGGAATCAGTGGACAAAACAATAAACCAAACCTAAAATGAAGCAAAGCCTGTATACATATATTGTACATGTATTGCTTCACTGACACTGTACTGTAAAACATACATGCACATATATAGGGACAGAATTTTTTTGTAGCAGTCCCCTTACACCCCTCCAGTTATTCAGGACACTTGACTAAGATGTCATTACCTTCAGTAAAGATTATTCAACATGGGAACCAATACTCTACATTACAGAGCAATCTGTAGCAAATTTAGAGCACATTTTCAAACAAAGGCAATGGAACAATTATAAACTTAGCATTTATAAGTCACCTAAACCAAACTAACACAAAAAGTGGTAAAATAATTCAGAAAAAGGTACAGTTATAAGCTTGAACACCATTTACGACAATGACATTGTTTTAACATCCCATGATTGTTACCTTGGTTGGAAATCAAAACTCATCTTCATGCACACCCTAAGTTTCTATTCAGTTGTAAACTTATAGCTTATACCATATATGATTATTATTTTCAACAATAAAGGTCTCCTTAACCTCAGAAGCTTCTCTTAGAGAAAAATTATATTGAAGTCTGAAATCAATTCACTTGAGGATTACAAAGATTTGACATGGTTTGTGACATATACCAGTACATCTAGACAGACAGGAAAATATCAAGACACCTCCCATTTTTTTTTTTTTTGCTAAAAATTTTGTTGATACTCACCAACACAGATTCTGAGCATAAATAATATCAACAACACTCTTTGGCAAATCAAACTCTTGGGGACCAATAAACTTCACAATTTTTGAGCGGTCCCTGTATTTTGTATTCATATATCTGAAATAAGTTTTAATGAATATTATTTATCACTTTTTCTGTGAAAATAAAGAGCACTACAGAAAGTAGTGTTTAAAAAGAGGGGTTTCATTCTGTATTATACAAGTATATTCCCCTTGTAAATTACTGCTTTTATATCAATTTTAAAGAGCAGAAAAAAGAATGAATGATGGCAAATTTTGAGCTGTTTTGAGTTTCAACAATCACTTCAGAATTTTCAATTCTGTTATTTTTCACAGATACTTTGCAAGCTTACCTCCTGGGGCTGTGCCAGAGTAGTACCACCAGTATAACAATAACGATATCTATCAGCAAGAGCTTATAAACCTGCTGTCCAACATAGGTCTCCCAACACTAGTAAAAAATTGAAGAAAACTATACAGAAATCTCAGCTTTGTGTCATTTTCAAAATAAAAAGTCCAAAAAAAAAATTCTTATGCATATACATGTAGTTGAATAATGTATCTGATTGAAATTTTACATACATGATAGTTGCAGTAGCGTACCGGTACTAGCTCTCTGGGATAGATAATTTAGACAGTTGTACAAATTATCTATCCCAGAGAGCCACAGCACTGCAGTCAGAATATCCACAGATGGAAAATTTTATTTTGGATGGCAGGGGTTACACACATACCCTAACTGAGTTTGGGTCATCATCATCTGTCCATCGAATGTTCCCACAAATTTTCTGTTTATTATCTTCCAACAGCAACTTATGGTACAGCATTACCATCAATGCTACTGGAGAGGCTAATCGGAGAAGGATACTCCTAAAATAAGATTTAAAGAGGGATACTCCTTAAATAAGATTTAAAGGAGGATACTCCTAAAATAAGATTTAAAGAGGGATACTCCTAAAACAAGATTTAAAGAGGGATACTCCTAAAACAAGATTTAAAGGAAGATACTCCTAAAATAATATCTAAAGAGGGATACTCCTAAAATCCAATTTAAAAAGGGATACTCCTAAAATAAGATTAAAGGAGGAATTAGTTTAATTCGAATTAGTTTACTGCGCATTAAATTACTTCGCATGAGCTCCGTGTGAACGCTAAGCGAAGCTAATTCGAATTAAATTTTGACGCATGCGTAAGTGCAGAATTAAGTCACAGGCCACATGTCGGTGGTCATAGGTATTTGTGCTATTTTTGAGTGGAAAACAAAGGGAAATTATGATAATCACTAAAATGTGTACAGACACTATGACATTATGTCAAATCAGTGGTCAAATGTATCTGCTCATCACAGTGTGACGTGATTCGCAAACTGACGTCATAATAGCTTTACTGAATAGCCTTATTGTAGAAATAAAAATTTAATTCGCATTAGTTTACTTCACATTAGTTGTCGTGTGAACGCAATTTAATTCGCATTAGTATAATTCGCATTAGTTTAATTCGCATTAGTTTACTTCGCATTAATTTACTGCGAATTAAACTCTCCGTGTGAACAGGGCATTAGATTTCCAAAATAAGACATGTGAAGAATTTACATGTGGACTCCTAAATAAAATTTACATGTAAAGAGGACACTCCTAAAATAAGATTTAAAGCATACTGCTAAAATCAGTTTAAAGAAAGATACTACTAAAATATGATTTAAAGAAGGATACTCCTAAAATACGATTTAAAGAATGATACTCTTAAATCACAATTTTAAAGAAGGATACTCCTATAACAGGATTTAAAGAAGGATACTCCTAAAATTAAAGAAGGATACTCCTATAATAAGATTTTAAAAAGGATACTCCTTAAATACAATTTAAAGACAAATACTCCTTAAATAAGATTTAAAGAAGGATATTCCTAAAATACAATTTAAAGAAGGATTTAAAATTTGATTTAAAGATGGATACTCCTTACATAAGATTTGAAGAAGTATACTCCTTTTAAAATAAGATTACTATGTTAAGAGTTTACATGTGGACTCCAAAAATAATATTTACATGTAAAGAAGTGTACTCCTAAAAATAAGATTCATATTTATAGAAGCAAACTCCAAAAATATAATTTACAGTCATTCCTAACATAAAATGTAAACAATATCATAAAAATAACCCAGTGAAACATATCATTTTCTTCAACGAGTTCATTCAAGAATCTACAACTGCATGCACAAAACATCAAACTACTTCAATTCTATAGTAAAAATACTACATATGGCAGCAGACACATTACTGTAGAACACCACATTTTCGTAACACCTTATTTTTTCAATATAGTTATTTGTATTTATATGAAAAAAATATTTTTCACAAATATATGAGAATGAAATTTTAGTGAGCAGATGGTCTTGAATAATTACACAATAATAAATTTCTTACAAATAAAAAGTGAATTACAGGTCTAAATTTAATAGACACTTTTCCTTTGGAACCATGCATATTCTTATTATGTATTTACTAGGGATGGCAATTTGCAATCGGTTAACCAGTAACTTGGTCGGAATAATGGTAATCGGTTGGAAAATCTGTAAAGGGTTAGTTGAACAAAATTAGAATATGATTAAATTTGAATGAAATTTCCTTAAAATTCAATTTTCAAAAAACCTCTGAACTTTATTAAGTTAGCAAAGTCACACATCTATTTAATTAGTGCTCTCTGGAAGGAGATTAAAGGGTTAATTAGTCAGTTTGGAAGTATTAATTACTGTTTCAACACCCTGTCATTACAAAGCCAGTCCTGTATTTCTTTAATGATATTAGTTATATCACTGTTGATTACTCCATTATAACGTGTATCTTACCACCTATATCCTTTCCAGGTATCTATCAAATTATATTATTTAACAAACTGTAAATTAAGTGAACTGAGTGACATCTGGTCTGAAAAAATATAAATAATATCTCTGATGTCTCAGGCATATTCTTGGTTTTCTTGCTTTTTCTCTACCTATTTGAAATTGAAATAAAATGTATATGGTGTTCTTATCAAACATAAACAAAATATTACTAGTGTCTCTTTTAGTTTTCTTGTGTACATGAATCAAGCTTACCTGAAAACATGTCCAAAAAATGAGCATTTTGATATGATTAACAGGTTAATTTGTTGGAAAGTCTTGTGGTTAACCAATTGGCAATTCTGTATTCGATTACCATCCCTAGTACTGACACAAATTTTTATCCTGATGCCAATTAATATATTAAAAAACTGTTACCTTTACTCAGCCTGAGAAACCATTCAAACAGACATAATTTGCGAATTCCTTTTCAATTTGTAATCGAGTAAACCTTACTTTCTACAAGATGCAGATATCAATAAGTTATTTTAAAAATAATATATTCTCTCCAGTACATGTATTTTATAAAAATTGTTTACCTAAAGAGTGTAATTTTAATTTGAAATTCATGTGTGTATTCTTCAAATATCACAAGCTTCTGAAAGACTCGAGGCACAACCAAATTCAGCAAATTAATCGTCAGATGAGGAACAAACTGGAAGAAGAGGTTATGAGCAGCACTGGACCCTTTTCCATCACTTTTCTAAAGGAAAAAAATTATATTTGTAAAACCGATACTTTTGGAGACAACTAACTTTTGTGAATCAATCTGCCCCCTAGTAATTGTCTCTAATTTTCTCCACAATGCTACATGCTAATCTATACAGTAGGGATTAGGGATGTGCAATTTTATCAGTTTACCAGTATATTGTAATTTTTTATTTTGTGCGATACTTTTAATAACAATTACCAGAAGTGTAAAAATGTTGTAAAACAATGGCATTATAGCATTCAAACATGCTTTATTTATATATACATGTAAATAAAAATGAAAGAAAGTCAAGTTATATTAATGGATATTAATTTAATATCATAATAAAAAGTATTAAGTGGAAAAATATCATGATAATACTGTTGATATTCCTGGAAAAAATCCTGATATACCAGGTACAATGATACGAAAATTTTGACGATACCCATCCCTACTATACAGAGTGTTGAATCTCTATGATTCATACACTGATATACTGGTATATCTAAATTTTATTCTTTCTCAAATTTTCATGATGTAAAAGTGGAGTTAGAAAAACTTACAAAAATAGAGAAAAAAAAATGTCTGAAGGGACAATTAATAAATGTTCCCCTGTATAACTAGAAGAATGAAAAGAATTTAATATCTACACTTATTTAAAAAAACCCAGAGGTATCAAACTTAATTGTAAGTGCAACACTTAAGAGAAGTGTTTAGCTTAAAATCTAAAAATCAGAAGGAAGTACTTTGTTGCTACTTAAGCTTATATCAAAACTTATAACACACAGTGTGTAAAAGCTTAATATATTTGTACATCTATCATCTTAGCTGTGGTGAGTCCAATCAGAGCGAGTGATCCACACAGAAGAATGACAACCAGGATATTGATGACAATCCTCATCCCCCACACTTCTAACCAGTCTACCCATGTCCGAAGACCGAGGCGCTTTGTTCGTTCCTGATCTGCAAGGTCAGCCTAAAACAAACTATAGCTATCAAACAACAACTGTAGCTATCAAACAACATGGTAAATTTTTTTATAAATAGTATTATTAAATAAAACAATCAATGGCTCTGATTCTGTTTTTTATGATATTTTTACTTTTATGTACTATTTGTCCTTGAATCTGAATTACAGCACAGTAATTCCACAAAAGTAGCACCCACCACTAAGGCGACTCCAATGACATTCCTTTTATGACTAGCTGCCTTGCTCTCTTTAATGCAGTAGTCCCATCCACCAAACACTTTATTGGTAAACTGTGCCACTGACTTCTCTACACCATGGGATGCTTTCATGTTTTTGGCTGAACTGAAATTTGAATCCATAATGTACATCTATCATTATATTCAAAGCATAAAAATAAATCCAAGATGTCTGTCCATCTGTTTGTCACAAATAAATGATGCCAGGGCCATAACTCTAGAACCCCCTCTCTGGAATGACTAAAATTTAGTACATTTTTACTCAAGGCTTAAGAGAGTACAAAGATCCTGACTTAGGTCAATTTCTATAAGACATTGAAACTAGTTTTTGGGTCATAAAACCCTGAATTAGAAACATTTGAACATTTAGTATGTTGATGCTTGTGACCTTATGATATGTCATATATTGACACAAAGTCATATTTTGAATGTCAAGGGCAGTATGATGTAAAGTTGACTCATTCAAACCTTAAAGGTAAAGGTCATGTTGTTCAAATCATAAAATGATGGTCAGGGAGTATCACTGTGGTGGAGGGGGGCAAAAATTATGCAGTATTTGATGACACTAGTTCTTACTTTTTGATGATAAGAATGAAACTGAGGAGAAGGCTGAAGAAGACGCTGCAAAGGTAGGCTACTCCTACATTATACACCACTTCCTGACCATCCTCTGTGTGTGTCCTGTTTTTGTATGCGCCATAGAACATGATCGAGCTCTCCATAAAACCCTGGAGAAAGCAAGCAACAACACAAACTCTATAATTATTAAAGAATTGTTACACATCAATGTCTTCTTGCACAGTACTTGTCAGTATTTTCAATATACTCCACCACAAAAAAGTAGCAGTACAAACAGAATTAGAATGTGCAAGCGAAATGACACAGTTATTTCCCCATTATTTTAAAATATATTTTGACTCCAGAAATTTACTTTGGAATTTTTGCGTAATAGAAAAACAAAGCTGTGGTTAAGTTGAAACTGTCAATCTTCGTAGCTTAGAGTACATGTTGCTGATGCTTACCGTGCCTTGAATGAGATCCAGAAATATTGTAGCCTTTGAATGTGTAGGCCCATGTATTTTGTCTGTATGTGTAATATACTGCTGGGAGCAGTTCACTGTTCTCATTATCATTCTATAATCCTCACTGGTTATATTGAGCTCTGGAGAAGAAAGATTCCTCACATAATCATCAAAACTTGACGAATTCATGGCAGCATAAGGAATCACTAGGATTGTAAACATGATGACCATGATGTAAAAATTCAGGAACATCAGCCATTTCACAAAACGAAAGTAGGTCATGATTGCCATTCCATATCGACCTGTAGTAAAAACATACTGTACATGTAGTCATATTTTAGTGTCTTTTTAAACAGCATTAACATTTTGTTGATGAAATATGAATTAGAAATTACAAAGAAAATATCCGTCCGAGTTTTTTTTAATTTGATAACATTAATAAACTACCGGTATATGAGAGATAAGTTCTTGGTATTTACCCTCGATTTGTCTAAGAGTTCCGTGGAACAAGGTCACAGACTGACGAATATCCTTGAATCTCATCCTCCACTTGTGCCATTTCTTGGAAACAAAAGCAAATACTATTTAATTTGTATGTATTGAAAAAAAACCTCCGTTAAAGAATTAAATAAAATACATTTATTAATAAATACATTTTATATTTTTCTATTAATCAAAATTTAAGGCAATTCATTGATATATTGAAAAGTATGTAAGAATATTAATTCTGAAACAATGAAAGTTCACACCAGTAAAAATTAAAGATAGATAATTTAAAAAAAAAACATAGAAAGCTTGATACAGAACATGCATTTAAAATAATTAATGTGGTAAAAAATTGTGGCAACTTGTCTTTTTCAACAACATAGTATGTGGTATCAAAGTACTTGTTAACGTAGGATGCATGCATTAGATGATAACACTTTATTTAAACATGTTAAACAGGAAAAACTCACTTCTTGATGTTTATATGCACTGCCTTAACTAATAAAAAGTTATTCATGTATGTTGTAATGTGCATGGACAGTAATTACTAACTGATTAATTATTACACGAACTTGTCAGAAAACATTAAGCTATAAATTATTAATAGCCAGTGGGTATACTTATTACTTGACTTATGATCCAGAATTAAATGTTTCTTCCAGCTGGCTAATTTGATTCCTACACTTTTATTACAAAAAACAAGTTTTGAATGATCTGAATTCAGTTCTATACATTATAGATGTCCTATCTGCTGATGATCTTTTTTTTAAAGTGTAATTTGCAGTATTAGAACGAACTATACCCACCCTCGCTTGTATTTCTATTCTCTCCAAAGTTGACACTCTACAAAAAAATTTAAACAGACTGTCAAATCAAACTGACCTAAGCACGCAATGTCAGTCATAAAATACAATTCTCTGACACTGTATCTCCAAATTTATCAGTAGCTTTGTGGGTGATTTAAACTTTTACATTTCACAGAAATTATTGTTTCATAGTGTGAAATAGGAATGCAAGCAGGCTAGCTGTCAATTTTTCTGCCAATTATTCACTTATAAAACTTCATAAATTTGGTTAATACATGTATTAATTAAAAAGTCAAACAGATATATCATGTACATTATTCTTTAAAACAACAACCTTAATTTTAGATAAAATATATGGTTAATTCTGGTTCATTGCACATCAAGTAAGATACTAAGAAAAACTTTTTTTCCTACAGGTACTTACTTGACTGCCCTTGCCACATTTCTAAAAGACACTCTATTCCTGTTTTTCAGATCTTCATATCTCTCCCAGAAAGGCCGAGGTCTGACATATCGACCCTCACTGACCCTATGTAAGTCCCTCCTTCTGTCCTTGATAGACCTGGATGATGTGAACCTCCTGATCCGGACACTTGGAAGCTTACTCCGGATGTCACCCTGTAGATCCTGCTCCAAATCATGATCGTTCAGTAGCAGGGTCACTACTTTGGATCTATGATTCTTATGAAGTCGAGGATTCTTCCTCAATCTTACAATAACTCCCGTGTCTGTCTGACACCGTCCTCGAAATCCTAAACGACGATTCATTTCAGACAATCACAAAAATTCATGTTCTCATTACAGACACAAATGTCAATATAAAAAACACATCATGAATAATTCAAGGTGAATTTGGTGTTGACCCACGCGTGTAACCTTGCCATAAAACGTGAACTATCTATAACTGTTAATCATACTTGAGTGTATCTAATGACCACTTAATAATAAGTCACTGATTTCGCACATGAATCACAACAACAAAAAATACATACTCCTTCCAGTGCACATACACTACTGTCATGAAATTGTATCAAAATAATCCCCTGAATGGAGAGCTAAGAGGAAAGTTAACTCTGGTCAAGGACCACTACCGGTAATTATTTTGTCATGGAAAGATGATCTCTTTATAAGAACATCATTGTATTAAATGTCCCCAGGTTATGTTGTTTACATCAGTTTATAGAGGAGAAATTAGCAGCATTATCTTCACAGTGACTGTCCTAGCTTACATATATACAATGGGGATTCATAAAAAGAAAGGCAAGTGTTAAATACATGTTATATCAATAGTATTTGAATCAACAAATACCCTCTAAAAAACAGGAAGAATTTAACCATAAAACTTTTGTACTGAAATCTTTAAAAACCGTATATATGTATATAGTCTGCCTTCAGAAAGTTGAATATACTGGTACTGTACAATTTGTTGTTCATAATTGATTTTATAATGCATTCATACAGTACGGACTGTATGAAACTGTATTCCTGAAACATTTACTGAGATTATGTGTATGTAATTTTTTAAAATAAATTGAAAAAAAAAATTAGTTACAACGCAGACTGTCCATTGGCTGTATGTAAAATACCTGTTTACAGAAACATAATTTTCTCACTTATCATATCACTTCCTTTTTATTTTAGTAGGCTATAAGACTATAATATGTGTCATTATTTTTGTAGGCTTTACGACTTATATGTCAATCAAAATCTCTTTTATTTTTTATTTTCAAATTGTCTTTTCTGCTCAAGACAATAAATTACATGTATCCTTGAAAGAAATAAACCTAAGAATTCTTAGTTTTTAAAAGTACACATTCCTCTAGATGCAGAAATGACCAAAATAAAAAAAAAAATACAGAAAAGATGGATAGGGTACAGACAAGGTATGCATCTGATGACATAAAATTCACTAAATTCTTACTGCAGTCTCCTCCCAGGTAATCTATCTCATTCACAATAGAGTTACCTGACACTTTCTAATAAAATTAAATGAAATTTTTTTTTCAATTCTTTCTTTTATATATATCTATTTACACCCCTGTCTATTTCACTGTTGGATACGTTTACTTGTGCATCATTAATGACAACAACTTGTTTACAAATTTAAGCATTGTCTACTTGTTGAGGACAATATGTAGCTCTCTAGACCAAACACTTTCTTCATTATATCACATAACAGAGAGAATTATCGCAACATGATGCCACAACAATTTCTGCATCTGACAAAGAAATTATGAAAAGAATGTACTAAATGCATCCACACATTCTATCATAGAAGCAGCGGTAATATAATCCTCCTGGTTAGGGGGATTAAACTGTTACCTGGTGTGACATTCACTCCTCGCATTATCTTAATATTTAAAAAAAAAAACAACTTCCGTTTGTTAGAACTTCTTATGTAATATGAGATCAAATTGTTGCAATACAAGGCTTTCACTGGCATATGAATCTCAAAGAAACCCTTAATTGTAGCCCTTTCTTGGTTCCCAAAGGCTGACATATGTTTTTGAATAATATTGTACTACATGCCAACTGCATGATTTTTAAACTTATACATGATTTTAATATCATTACCTGGTACATATATAATAGTCACATGATGGATCTTGATTAGAGAAGATTTTTTGTGATTTTAAATGAAAATAATTTAATTCTGGTTGTAATGCACCATTTGATTGGATTTATGATATTGAATGACAGACTTGTTTTCAGCTTAGTTTTTTGTTGCTAAAATTGTCTGAAAAAATAGGTAGTTTATCCCATCCTTATGCACTTTGAAATTTGATTCATTGTTTTATAAAATAATTTAAAAATAAAGTAAGAAACTAGATGATAGAACATTATGATATGTACATAGGACATAATAAATTTTAGTAATTTTCGAAATAAAAAAAAAAATGAATAGATTTTTTCAGGTCAAGATCCTTCTTCTACTTATGTTATTTTATACATGTTGGTTTTAGACAAAGAAAAAGTAATTTTTAGAAAGTTTTATAGATGACATAAAAATGAAAGAGACCAGCAATCTGATTACTGAACAGAATAGTTAACTAGAGTTTTATATATTAAGTAATATTACTCTTATCCAATAGAGCAAAGTCAGTTTTGCAATTCAAATAAATTACTGTTGGAAAAAATCTTGTTGTAGCATCAGGAACTAAGCGGACACTCACAGACTAAGTGCCCCTTCCCTGTCTGCAACTCTATCCTGTAAAAATTCAGTGATTAGGATAGCTTACAAATAAACAAACTCCACAGTTCATAGACTTACTGCAGAGAATGTTTTTATCAGAATATTTATTTCAATAGTTAACAACTTACATGGGCCTCAATGGGCTCATCTTCTTTGAGTGAGTAATTTTTTTTTTGTATGGCAAATTATTTAAATTACACTCTCCTCTCTGAATACTTTTGACTCTTGGTCACAAAATTACACCATGATGGATCTGGACAACAGGGAGTAGACTAATTAGTTCAAATCCAAATTGAAAAATTTTCAACATAACAGATTTAAATCTCATTTTGGAAATGAAATGACAGTGCTTGAAACATTAGAGATCTCATCAACTGAATGCTGATAAGGTTAAGTCTAAACTATAGGGACTGATGACTTGCAACCTACATTGTTAATGTTTTGCATCTTTTCAAATTTTACTTATTTCATGATCCAAAATGAGTTTTTCTAATTTTTCTATTTTTGTTATATAGTACAAGTATTATAATTTCATATATAGCAAGAAATTAGTACTGACTTAATTGTAACCAGTAATACAGTGTAACCTTGAAAAAAAAATCCTCTTGGGATTATGATTATATCTGTTACTGTTGTAACTGAATGGAACCAAAGGAATAACTTGAAACCAGTGTAACCTCAGAAACAAGACCCTCCTAGGGGTTAAGATGATCTGTAACCATTGTAACAGATTTATCAATGGAATAAAGTTGTAACCAGTGTAACCTAAATAAAACAACATTCATGACTGGGTTTAAAATGATCTTCATTGTAACTGAATGTAGGTTAAAGTCAGCACTAATTTTTTGCCATATCTATAAATTTACATGCATGTGTATTTGCAGGGTTGTCCGTAAGAATTGAAATAGCAGGGGACATTAAAAAAGAAGAAGAGGTTTGGTGTTCCTCCTCTAATAGGGGATTGAGGGGGAATACCAGAATAATCAGGGACTTATGTCATTAAAGACAGGGACCCCCCCCCCCCCCCGGGTCTTAGGGACAATCCTAATTTGTGTACTTTATATACACATCTGAGTATGCATGTGTATACATCATGTAGATCTATAATATCTGGAAAAAAATTATCTCAATATTTATATAACACACCTGATTCTGCTTCAAGACCCTTAAAAAATTAACAGAGCATTAATGTTATAATAAGGTTTAACACTTTTTTTAATTCCTATGCCTCTCGGCCTTTTTGTGTCCAGTGTCGTGTGGTTTGTTTATTTACAAATTCAGAAAAAGTTGCCTATGGGGTCAAATGAAATATATGCCTAACTCATGATCATAATCACTATACATAGTGACTTATATTCATTTTGCCTAGTAATTTCCCCCATAAACCCCACCCCCAAAAAGTTACATAATGAATCGCCCTAAATGACAGACGAAAAGTAAACACACCAGTGGTGGATCCAAATGTTTTCCTCCAAATTATCAAAGCACCAATATTACATTAACATAAAAATTGAAATTCATACCTTCCAACTGCGTTATATCATCCAGTAATGGTCTTTCACTTTCCTGATCTGCAACAGGTCCAGGAAGCTCCACTCTAACGATGTCTTCGTCTTCACCCTCTTCTTTGGAAGCCATTCGAAATCTAAGTGCCAAAACCTCTCCGTACTCGAAGACAATCCGGAAACAAGTGAGTCACAACATGCATCATCACTTCCACATACCTATGTGGTCAAAATATTCAATTACACGATAATTAAACAACACATAAAACCTCCATTCGCTGATGCACACATAATCACGTTCAAAGTTGGACAAATGCCACTGTAAATTAGTTGAAGGCGTACATGTAAATCTTAAAATGCTAATTCTGCTCTCTTCCATACTTTTCGACCTACTCCAAAACTATATATATATACTGGGTTGAATTTCGAGGTGCCCAGAATTTTTCAATTTGACAAATGGCCATGAAGGAACACGTACCCCCAAAATCATAAAAATCATAACAGAGTAAATTCCTAAGGATTGCTCCTGTATCTATAGTTCAAAGTACTGAACAAATAGACACTGCACTCTTACTTGTAGTTAAAGTTTGCCACGTTTCCAAGTCTTTCTCTTTTTTTTCTTTATAAACACAATTATTTTGTTTAAAACATGTTACTTTTGTATCCAAGAGTAATAACAAAATAAATCAGTAGGTGTTTTTTTTTTTGATTTAATGGAGATTTTCTTTTTATTCCAGTTCAAATAAGAAAATAAATATTAAATAAATTAAATAAAATAACAAGAGGCCCAAGGGCCTTAACGGTCACCTGATTACAACAATTTCGAGGATCCATAAACTGATAAATGAAGCTTTGTTGCCCAATAGCATGAAAAATAGTACGATTAAGATCAACAAAATAAATGATCTTGTATCTTTCGAGCTGTCCCCCATTTATCAATATTGCCTTGCAGACTTTTAACAAAATGTCTATATGTATATTATTACCTCTTACATTGGCCTCACTTGGCCATTGAAGAACATTTAAGAACATAAGTTATTTTTGTTTCATTTTTATTCATCTATTATTTCCAAGTCTACCTGATTATTAAAACGATGAAAGTACTTTTTGTACAATAAATGTTCTTGCATAATTCTCTTATTCTATTAACCTTTCAAATACATTATCTACAGTGATTAATTATCAAAAGTGAATGGCAAAGGGGAATAACTTCACTCAATAGAATACAAATTGCCAGGACCATAACACTTGACTAAATGGCCCAGATGTTCAAAATTCTGGTAAAAATACCCTTGCTTATTAAAACTTTTACTCTGTTTGCTTCTAATACGCCCAGGAGCAGAGGAGATTTTCGAAGAAATAATGCATTTTCACTATTTAACATAGCCCTACACTAACCCTAACACCAGAACCCATGACCTTGAGTCATGAAAATTTACAGATTTGGAAGAGGTACCCTTATCATCATAACTATGCAATTGTTTGAAAATTTTCAAAGAATTCACACATTTTCTCTATATAATCAAATAGAGCCCCCCCCCCCTTCAGAGAAACAACAGAGCCCCTGGGACCACAAGTTTTAGAAATTTTGTAAAAGCATCCTTGCTCATCATAAGAATACACTTGTTTATTTGCTTTATAGCCAGGAGTAGAAAAAATATTTTGAAAGAAATTATGTATTTTCACTATATAATCAATAGAGTCCCCCCCCCCCCTTCACCAGAACCCCTGACCCCGGGGGCCATGAAATTCATGATTTTGAAAGAGGCAGCCATGCTCATCATAACAATATACTTAGTTAGTTTATTTCGTACCCAGAAGCAGAGTAGAAGATTTTCAAAGATTTAATGCATTTTCACTATACAATTAATAGAGCTCCGCCCTTACGCCAGAACCCCTAACCCAGGGGCCATGGAATTCATGATTTTGAAAGAGGCAGCTATGCTCAATTTTGGTAGAGGGCTCAATGCTTATTACAATCATGCCAACAGTTTGACTGCTTGATGTCCAGGAGTAAAGAAGAAGATTTTTAAAAATTGCATCAATTTTGGTGGTTTTAGCACCACCCCTCAGGCCCCAGGGGGGCAGGGACCATGAAATTCAAAAATTTTGTCCCCCTTCACCCATAGATGCTATATGCCAAAATTGGTTGAAATTGGTTGAGCAGTTTCAGAGAAGAAGCTGAAAATGTTTAAATGTTAACGCACGACGGACGAATGACTACGGACGACGCACGACGACGGACAAAAACAGATAGCAATAGGTCACCTGCAAGCCTCGCCCTCTATCACGTTTTCTTACCCTCGCCCAAATATCGCTTATATTTCAAGACAGTCTCCGTGTATTTTGTTTATCCTGCAACACATTTTTACAGGACCTCCAAAACGAGCTTTTACAACCGATTTAGGTACATCTCTGCAGTTGAAACTAAGACGCCATGGCGTAAACATTGCAATATTCATGACGTCACAATGCTTTTAGAACATCGGAATACATACACGAGGCTTTATTAGGGCATTGACCGAATAAAGCTTTGGTTTATTAGGTTACCTTTATTAGGTCAATATACAAGGGGTAGTTGCAGGATAAAATAGCGGAGGCAGTGAGCAGTTGGCAACAAACAGTTGCAGTGGAAGTAAGCGGCTTGCAATAAGCAACTGGCTGTCGTATATAGTCCTGCATGGGTAAGTTAATACTAAGACACCAGTCATTTCAAGATTTGTCTCGAATACATCTAGGTTTGATTGCAAACCGTTGGAAGTGCTCAATTAATTAATTGTATATTGTCCCATTTGAGAATTTTTTCACTCATATACGAGAGTCGTCACCATATGCCAGTGAAGGGCTTCAGTACTATACTTGATACTCAGGGCCATTGAGCAGTTAACTGGTGAAGCTAGGTTACTTTAGGATCAGATAGTAAAAATCGAAAATCGCTAAAATTCAATTTTTATTATAATCGGTGAATTTAAACACACAACACAAAACCACACTATCCTGAAACCGAGCCGAATATGAATTGGATACTGTCTTGCATAACTTTTAAGTTTTGTTTTGTTTTTTAGCCTGTCAGATAATTTTGGGAAGTTGGTTCCCCACTTTTGGTCAGTGTAAGTTGTTGTTGTTGTTGTTTTTAAAAAAAAATTTTTTTTTGCTTGTCAGATTTTTTTGGGAAGTCCCCCCCCCCCCCCCACCGCCCACTTTTGAAACCGTTGCAGCCTGCATGTTGTACATTATGTACATATATAAAAGTGTATTTTTTCTTACTCTTGTCACATCACCATATAAAGGTAATCATTGCCAGATATATAAATAAGAGTGTTATCCATGTCTCTGATCATTATATATAATTTCTTATGACAACTTATCACCTGATTTCTATGCCGGCCCGTGCACTCGACTGTGGATTGTATTTATTATTACGAACATTTAGAAAATTTAAATATTCACAGATCACAAAATTACATTCACTGATTTATTACTACTGTGACACAAAACATTTCCTTTTTTGGCAAATGTATCGATGCAGGAAGTAAACCACTTTACGAACGAATTATCCAAGGTACAAAAGTGAAAGTAGGAAGTTCCATTCATTCCTATTTTGGATTGGGAGTCCCAGGTTTCTGTTTATATCTTCATCTTGGCATTTGCTGATTTGACAATATTATTTACAGTTTGAATATCCGATCAGAGTTGCTTTAAAAAAATCGGGACAAACTCTTAAGAGGAAGCGGACAAAGGTATCTCAGTAATTCGAATTTGGTTTTTAACTTTATTTATATAATAGAGAATATGTTGTGGTTATACATACAGATCGAGTGTGAGGATGTTGCTAACCCTTCATAGGCATAATAGAATAGGCATTGATAATGTTATACCATGTGGATTAATTTGGGGAAATCCCAATGAGATAAGAAAAATCTTAAAAATAATTTTCCCGTAGATCAATGAATTAGATCTATTTGTTTCAGAATATTTATGACATAAATAGAATGCTTCCTAAAAGTCATATGGACAACTGCTGACTCTCGAGAAATGAAAAAATAAGGTAAGTTTTCGGGTTTTTATACTTATGCAAGTTTATCAGAATCAAATGATAATAAAAAAAATCTCATTCTTTATAAACCATTAAATTTTATTTGGGGTAAATTTCTTTGCAATTCCATGTTTGACAGAGTAGGATGCAGCAAGAGACAAAGTCAGCCGTCACCCTAAATTCAGATCTAGATGTGGATGGTGATATTTCAACAAAACAGCCAGCTGTACAGAATCTGATACCAAATCAAAAAGGCCATATTGTCCTATCACTTTTTCCTGACTTTCAAATTGGGAACAATTCAATGGATCCTCGGAGTTATCTGACCCCATCGCAGGGTTCTATGTCTATAGAGAGCAAACGCCGAGAACAGATGATGGCAGATCTTTGGTCACACAGTCATGGTGTGTCACAAAACCAGTTCCTTTCTGTGGTTCGAGAGTTAAAGAAAACCAAAACAGCTATGAAAGAATTACAGCAGAAGTTGGCAGATTACAAAAATGCTAGTTTTGTAGGTTTTCTTAATTTCTTTTCTTTTCCTTTTTTTGATAAATAAGTAATAGAAACTTTATCTTAAAATTTACTTTAAATTTGCTCTTGCTGACATTTTATGTAAATATATGAATACATAAGATATTTTTAGTTTTAGATATTCTTTGAAATATTACAATTATTTTCCACAATTTATTAAGGAAGAAATATACATTTTGTCATATTCAAAAATAAGGAAGGCAATACTGTTTAAATAAAATATAATAGATGCAGTAAGGAAAAACCAAATTTCAATTATTTCATGTTTTCCTGAATTGCACAGGGTGACAAGCAATCAGAAGCGACCAGTTTTCTGGAAGAAAGAGTGAAGGCACAACAGAGTGAAATACGGGATCTAAAACAGAGAATTGAGAATCTTCAGGTTCACAAGAAACATATGAAAAATGATATAGAAGGAATCTCTGTGGCTCCCGCCTCCAATTCCTTGGAATTCTCTAGAAATAGCAGGGAAAATAGTTTCTCAAAGGTAAAAATTAAACTTTCATCAATAGCTTTTATCTTAATCATATACATGTAGTAAGAAGTTCTGAAATTTGAATCCAAGAGGTGGACAGGGAAAAGAAAAATGCATTTAGAGTAATTGTATCTATGATTGTATTTTATAATCAGAACAAGAAAGGGTACCTTAAACTGGATCAGATATTAAATTTTATGAGGAGGAAATATAAAAGTTTGTTTTAACACTATGAAGAATATACAGTAGGGCTGGGACAATATATCAAGATATCAATAATATTGATTGAATGTGAGGATGATACGCATATCGATACATATATGAAGAAATATCAAAATATCGCAAAAGAAATTCTGACTTATGTTTTTCTTTGTTTACTTAACATTTTGGGTTAAATATATAAAAATAAATATGCAAAATATAAATATGAAATAATAAACACCACTTGTGTAAATAATTTTGTTTTACAACAGATATATACAACCTCTTTGAATAAATTATTCTTATTTGTAAATAATTGTTTTGTTCATTTCAATACAAAAAAAATTTATAACTAATTCAACATATTGTGATACATATCGTATCGTGGCTCAATTATTGTGATACCTATAGATATCCAGGGGAAAATACTTAAAGAATAAGGGGTTGGGAGTTCCAAATCACTTCGACATATCCATGGTATTCGAGATATCAGTGTTGGAGATACCAAAGTTCAACTGTATGTATATTCATATTTTAGGCAAATCCCTTAAAGATTTACCTATAATTAAAATAATTTTTAAAAAAGATTAGATCTAAGTGAACATGTTCTAATTATAAAAAATAAAAAGGACTAAAACAGTTTCCAGTGCTTCATATCCCTTGCATGCAGGTCTAGTAAAAGGACCCTGTCCCAATTGAAAATTGACTCCCCCCCCCCCCCCCCTCAAAAAAAAAAGGTAAAAATTCCCAAATGACAAGCAGATTTAATTTTCAGCCTTTTTTTTTTTAATCAACAATATTAAATTCTGATACTCTAAAAAAAATTTGCATTGAGGATAAGCCTCAATATTATTGTCTTTATTTGAATATTTCCAACCTTTTTGATTTAAATTTCACAATTGAAAAAGTACAGGACCCTGTACCAGAAAGAGTCATATGAGCCCTGACATCTGAATAGTATATTGTTGTAGACGAATATCAAGTCTACTGCTGTGTACGAGTCACAATCTGGTAATCCAAGAGTTGTATAAACTTTGATGTGAATGATCCTAACTTAAGTTAGTGTTCTTTGTCTTGTTTAGGAGGACAATGAAGTCAGTCGGAGGGAAAAACAGCTTCAAGATGAAATCCATAACTGGAAACAGAAAGTAGAACACATGAAGAGGGAAAATGCTGTAAGTTTACACTGGAGAAGTACATGTATCTAAAGTTGTCCTAGTTTTGATGTTTGCAATGCATTTTCTTAACAAATAAAAGAAATATGTTTAATATTAATTTTAATTTTAGGAGATGAAAGAAAATTATGCAAGGTTAGAGAAAAGACTGGAGTGTGAGAAATTTTCCTCCATTCAGAAATGGTCTGAACTTTCAACAGAGAATGCAAAGTTCAGAAAAGAACTTAATATAGCAGAGGAAGACAGGAAAGTTTTCTTGGAACAGGTGAGGCATTAAGAGGCACTTTTATCTTCAAACACTTTTAATCTAATTCAAATCAGATTTAGACTACCATTAATTGAGCAAAAATTATTATTCCATTTTTTAAAATATTTAGCTGCATACAGGGAAAATCTCTTTCCCCATTTTATTTTCACCCCTTTTGTCCTTGTCTTTAGTGGGCAAATTAAAAATGGGGTAAATTTCTTCAATTCAAACAGACAGCATTATCTTTTTTTTTTTTTTTGAACAAATCTGTATTTAGACATATTTAAAAATGAAACTGAATCTATTGCAAGTGTAAGACCCCCCCCCCCCCAATAAAAAGCAAACATGAAGCAGAAATAACCCATTTATATGTATTCATCTTAATGGATTAAAACATCCCTATACTTCATATCATTTTTTTAGATAAGAGTTTAATGTAGAAAATCTTTTTTAGTCACAATTTATTTGATTTATATTTTCATCCAACAAAAATAGCCTAATAAAAGTAGTTTTGTAGGTGGACCAATTATTAATCCAGGTTAATGAAAAAGATCGAAGACTGCAGAAAATGCAAGAAAGTGTAAGTACATGAAGTTACATGTATATAGATTAAAGGGGCATGGACACAGTTGTGTTGCTATTTTGTTTACAATTTCTAATTTTATTTGAAAAATAGCTTCAGTTTAATGACTTGAATTTACATGAAAATTCTTTTAATATTCAATGACACCGGCATTCTTCATAACTTAACACTAAACACCTGCGTTTGTAAACAGTGGCACAATTAAGCTCTGTTATTGTCATAATATTAGTTTACGTTTAACTGGGTGTGTTCGATTTGCTTACATTGCTCACATTACTCGCCACAAACTGATGACACTGGTGTGTTAGTTTTGCTTTCTTACCTTTCTTTTTTGACTTTTCTTGATTACACTTTTAATATCTTTTATTAACATACTACAGATTTCCCACTATCCTTGAATATTAAGGACAAATTTTAGATTATGAAAGTGCAAGGATGTAATACAATCAAGCATGCCAGAAATTCATAGTTTTTATAATTTTTAGATAAAAGAAGTATCTGAAAAGGGTTTCAATATTATATCAGTCTGGAATGCTTTTGCAATATGTAAGTCATGAAATTCCACTGAAAATTTTAAAGGTTATGCAATTCGCATCTGTGTCCATGCTCCTTTAAAAAAGAATTGACAATATATACAGTACCTGGAAATGAATTCATCAGAGACATGTCATGGATTAACTCTACAATTCTTTGTTTCAGTATGAACAAGCAATACAAGACAGAAATGTATACGAACAAAGAATAGCAGAAATGAAAGCTCGTCAAGTAGAGGAGACCAACCCTTTATACCCTCGTGCTGGGAAGGTGGTACATCGTAATTATCATGAAGAAGGGTCTAGAACTCACAGTACAGTGCAGGACTTACACGAGGCACTAAATAAAGTGAAGAGACAACCGAGCCATAATCCCCGAACGTACAGGTGTGATAGGTGTTATGAAGAATTCACATTGGAAAAAGACCATTTGGAACATATTCAGAAATGTTATGATTAAATCTCACTTTATGTAGTTGAAAAATCAAATAATTCTTTTGTTGTGTCCTGAATGATTTATTACAAAGATTATTTTTCTTATATGAATATATTTTTAGTCACGTTTGCTTTTTTAAGATTTCAATTGTGAGAATGTTCCACTTAATATAAGAGATGTCAGAAATATATAAAACAATAAATATAGGAATTTTGTGATTTTATATTTAGTGACCAGACAATTTATTCCTGATAGATTTAATACATTTAAAAAAAAAATTCCTCTTGATGTTCATAGAACCTTGGAATATTTTTTCTTCACTGTTATTATTATTTGTCAAGCACATTCTATTTTCAGAGATCATCACACTGCAATCTTAATTACCTTAATGTGGATTTAAGACACTGTCATGTTTTGACAACAATTATTAAAGTCGTTAGTGTCTCAGTCATTAGCAGCGCTTTGGTTTTTTTTTTATAGCCAGGGACGTCATGATTGAAAATCTTAGTTCAAATTAGTTCAATCAAATATAGCATGGTCTCTTTTATTACTTAGCAAAAATGCTTCCATCTCCTTAAGTCTAGGAATATTTTAAACAAACAGGCAATTCTAAATGTATAAAATGTAATCTATGTGGAGTTTAAATTACTTAACATTTTCTTGCAAAACTTTGACTCTGTTGTGCCCAGCCTTGTCTCAGTCCAGCATTGATTTGAACAAATTTGTATCTGCACTACATTAAGATGCTTGAATTGTTATCTGACTAATTCTGTATCTGATGCTCTCCAGAAAAATTAACATTTAAAAAGATTTTCCACATTCTTTTTTTCAATTTCACCCCCTGTTGTGGTCCTACCGTAACCCCGATGGCCATGGTTCGAACAGACTTTAATCTGACACTATCTAAAGAGCTTGCCTATCATTGAATCTAATTATGGCTTAGCTGTTCGTCATCAAAAGATTTTTAAAAATCTTTTCCCCTTTATATATCCATGTAAAACTGAGACTCCTATTTTGGCCTCACGCTTACTCTGGGGCTATGATTTCACAAACCAGAATCAACAATCAACAAGAAAATTAAAAGAACTGTGCCCCCCCCCCCCACTTTCAGTGTCTTAGTGGTCGGGATGCAATTATATTAATATTGTACTGAATTGTCTTGTGTGAGTGTCCTGTCTTGTCTGTCCATCATATAAAAATATAAAATTTTTGAATGAATAAAAGTTATTGCCAAGATTAAAGTTTCTTAAAACTACATCAAACTTCAAGATCAAGATCATGAGGTCAGATATAATAAAATCCGAAAGGTCTTGTCACAAGTAATGCACATGTGAACACAATATGAAGCCCTGTCTCTTCTAGAGCAAAAGATACGCCAAGGTTAAAATTTCAGATACACGTAAGTAGGTCAAACATCTAGATCAGGTCTTGAAGTAAAAAAATTATAGTTCTTTCTGAAAGGAGTTGTTACAGGCAATATAAATATATGAAAGTCCTATCTTCTCTCATTCAAAAGTTATTAGCAATATTAAAATTTTGAAAAGTACTGTAGGTTAAACTTTAAGGTTAAGGTCTCGAGGTGAAAAAATATAGTACCTTCGGAAAGGTCTTGTAAAAGGTAATATATACGTCAAATTTTAATACAAGTTACCTTTTCTCCTGCAAAAGTTACCACCAATGTTAATTTTTTTGAGAAGTAGGTCAAACTTCAAAGTCAAGTTGATGGGGGTAAAGGTCAAAGTATATTTGGAAAGATCTTGTAACAAGTAATGCACATGTCAAATATTAACACCATATCCTTTCTCATTAAAAAGTTATCACAATGTTATTTTTTTTTAAAAGTAGGTCAAATTTCAAGGTTGCGGTAACAGAGTCAAAAAAATAGTACATTTGGAAACGTTTTGTACCGAGTAATATACAGCTCAAATATGAATGCAGTATCTTTTCTCATGCAAAAAATATCACCAATGTTAATTTTTTTTAAAGCAGGTCAACTTCAAGTTTAAGGTCATTTGGTAACAAATCAAAGGATATTTGGATCTTGTAATAAGAAATGCACATGTCAAATATGAACACCATATCCTTTCTCAGTCAAAAGTTATCACCAATGATAATATTTTTGAAAGTAGGTCAAACTTCAGGGTTAGGGTAACAGGGACAAAAATCATAGTATATTTGGAAAGGTATTGTCATAGGTAATGCACATGTCAAATATGAAGGCCCTATCCTCTTTCATTCAAAAGTTATCACCAATGTTTATTTTTGTGAAAAGTAGGTCAAACTTCAAGGTCAAGGTCACGGGCTCAAAAATCATAGTACATTTGAAAAGGTCTTGTCACAGGTAATGCACATATTAAATATGAACACCCTGTTTTCTCACATTCAAAAATTATCACCAATGTTAAAATGTTTGAAAAGTAAGTCAAGCTTCAAGGTCAAGGAGTCAAAAATCATATTACATTTAAAAGGGTCTTGTCGAAGGTAATGTACACGTCAAATATGAAAGCCCTGTCTTTTTTTTTTCATTCAGAAAAGTATCAAGAAACTAAATGACTTTAACTTTTCAATCGTCATCTTCCCTTACTTCTGCAGCAATATACCTTCATCACCTGCATACGGGGTTTATATCTCTCGGTTGATTCGATACGCAAGAGCATGCTCTACGTATGTACAATTTCAAAAACGAGGTAAATTATTGACAAACAAGTTGATGAAACAAGAATATCAGCTGTCTCGTTTAAAGTCATCATTTCGTAAGTTCTATGGTCGATACAATGACCTTGTCACCAAATACAATTTATCACTGAGTCAAATGCTGACTGACGTTTTTCAGACTAACTGTTAGGCCATTATTTACACACTGAATTGTCGACGGATTTTTCCGTTATTTCCCGATCATGACAAGGAGCACACGGCGGGTGTGACCGGTCGGCAGGGAATGCTCACTCCTCCATGGCACCTGATCCCACCGCTGATGTTTTGAAGGTCCGTGTTTGCTCTGCTCCTATTTTGTATCGTTTGATGGACTTTTGAGCTTGAATATTGTTCGTTATCTCCATATATTTCATACAGTAGAAACTGGTTGGAAACCTCTTGAAATAAGAAGAGACAATGCTTTATTATTAACAATTTTAAAAATTCATAATAATCTAGCTCCTATTTATTTAAAAAAAATGTACCAATGGTTAGAAACACTGTTTCAAATTATAATACCCGAAATTCATGTAATTATTCCTTACCAATCATTGTCCATCCCATTGACATATTGTCAATATATGTTCAAAACAAAACAAAAAGATATTATGCTGTGGTTATTTCAGAATAAGATGGTGCTTTTGCATTATATGATGTGCTTATTTTACATCATTTTTCCAAACAAACAAACAAACGAAACAAATACAAAACTAATTTAAAGAATTCAAACAATCCCCTCAAAAAAATTACGTGGTAAACAAGCATCAGCGATCACTGTTAATGTTCATAAATGTGACAAATTTCATTATAAGGCAAGAACATTTAAAACTGTTTCTCCTTTTCTACAATGTTTTTTTTTCTTACAGTTCAAAACTTTCTGAAGAAAATACGTCAATCGGCAAGTAACAATTAAAAAAGCCAAGAAATACTAGTAAATTGCTGGTGTATTATTGCAGAAAAATCCCGTAAGTTTGAAAATGTGATCTTTTCATTCACAAAACAAATTTTAAAAAGGATGACGTCTGCAAATACAATCTGTCGTTAAGTAGAATGTTGACTAACGTCTTTCATTCAATTTGTTAGGCCATTATTTTCACACTGAATTGTCTACGATTTTTTTCGTTAACCCGATTATGACAAGGAACACAAGGCGGGAGTGATTGGTCGACAGGGGATGTTTACTCCTTCATGATACCCGATCCCACCTCTTTTTCAGAGGTCCGTGTTTGCTTCTTTTAGGAATGATCACTGTTCATAATCTTCACATTTCATAAAACAGAACTTACAATACTTTATCTCTCAAAATTTAAAACTGCTTGAAACTAAAATTTTATAGAGCGTGTTCCATACTTGCTAACATGGTGGCCATTGCAGCTCTTAAAATACGAGAGATAAAATCAAACGAGTTCCGAATAATCAAGACAACAATATATAATGCAAGAGCGCCATTTACCTGAAAGAGTCAAAGAATATAATGTAATTTAAGCATCACCTTTTCGTGAGGGAACCACAGCATATAATGCAAAAGTAGGGAATCTCAGCATATTATGCAGAGTACAATTTCAACATGAAATAACCACAGCATATAATGCAAAAGCGCCAAACTATCATAAAAACAAATCACATCTTAAAAGGGAAATTTGGTGTTCTACAATTTTGCCCACAAATGCAACATGTATGTGGTTCTCTTTCTCGAGCAGTTGATGCAGTGCTCCCCTGGGGATGAGTCCATGTACTTTTTTTTATCATTTATAATAAATCATGTACTGGAGGTATATATAAATAATGGTCTGTATATTATTACAGAATGTCAGAGAAACTGCAGCACTTGAGAATTGAAAAACTCGGAGAAAGCTTTCTATTCCAAAAACATCGAGTGTATACCTCATGTTGCTGACTAAGAAACAAAAAAAAATATATTCCACACGAACACAACCATCAGGGAAGAGGAATGAAGCATCATGTGAGAAACCCATAAAAGCTTACAAATCTATTGGATTCACGAGAAGGAACTGTAAATACCGCAACACCCACAGTCATTATCTCAGTTGTTGGCATATATTGGAGAAATCGAAATATGAAAGGAAAAATAAAACATATTTAGAAAAGTTCTCATGTAAATAGACCATTTTTATAAAGAAAGGTGCTGTAAGGGGCGTAACTAGAGACCATTCGTGGAGAGTAGGCATGTCAACAACAGACTGACCATAGCATATAGGTGGTAAACCGATTCATTATAGTAAACTATTTTATTTATAGTTTTATTATGGAACTCGTTTTTACTTTATTATTGCTTGTTTGGAGAAAGCAAAGTAGTTCTGAAAATATATTAGAAGAATATAAAGTAAAACAAAAACACATTTAGACATTTTATTGAATAATGATTTTAACAATTAAAAACATATATAAATAACACCTAACGTTAACAAATTAGATAAATTAATTCTAAAAACAGATAAACCTCTGTTGTGTCTTTATGTAGTAGTTTATATATACTATTTTTACTTATTGCTTATTTATATACATGTATTCATATGATAATTTTATATGATTCAGTAGGTTTGTATAAATCTAGTATTTTTTTTTCATATTATCTTCTTCATTGGAAAAATATTTCCTCAACAACACGACAATCAACACTAACACTTGTAAAATGCAACATGTTAAAAAATGTGAAGTCCACTGTAAGAACAGAAAAATGCTGATTTTCAATTCATACACAATTTGTGCGTCGAGTACAGATTTGTGTATGTTATTTTAAAGGCACGGCATATTAACCTCTTTCAATTATAAACAATTTATCAGACACAAATGTACTTCTGATTTCTTGCATTGCTGTTCACAAAGGACGGGTTTACTAGGGACGGAAAATAGTGAATATAGTCAATGTTTTAATTAATAAAATAATCTGAAGACAAAATCCAGAGATTTTACTTCACATCACAGACCACGTGTTTCCATCCTCTGAACGAAGTTTGTTTCCTCCTTCAGAAATTACTAATACCGATCACTCATCGTCTTTGTTTTTATGATTCTCATTGCCTGCGTCAGGAAAACCCATAAAACACTGTCCATCCCGCAAAGAATCAGACCAAACCACGCAACCGGAACTGGCCACCCTATGCTGACTGACCGACTGGAGCATATGTGGTCCTGGATGTCATATAATGCTTGGCAGTAGTATTGCTCGTAATGATGTTGCACATGGAAAATAACGAGACCAAAAAATATGAACACACCTGAAAATGAAGCAAAGAAAAAAGTCATAAACACACCGTTGTTACTAACAGTATATCCTCAAATAAAAGCATTTGAAAGTAATTTGGGAAAGAAAAGGTTGCTACAGAGAACCTACTTGCAATACAGTAGAGAGCGCCTGCTACCATACAGACTGGCACATGTTTCTTGTAGATCCCCAGCGCTGCCAAAAAATTGGCCACAATCAGGTCAATAATTGTGACCATGAAACATACCACTGTGGAATTATGCAGACCTGAATAAATAAAGTTCTTTTAATTAACTGTCTATTAGATACTTTCTCAAGAGTATTGAATTTATTTGTTTCATTTGAAAAGGAAAGAAAATCTAAGATTAAAGATTTTATATTCGAAGATTGTTACAGCCACCCATGAATGATTTGGTATTTGTTGACACGGCTCTTGATTCTTCGTCATAGTCAGTCAGGAAGTTAAAACACTGCTTCCTGTCCACACCTGTCGTCTTCATGGTAGCGCGTGCTGTATCTGAAAGTAAATATACATCTAGGTCAGAATACTATTAGATCGGCAGACCAAACTAGAGGTAATGTGAGCACTGAGCTCACAAAATGATATTCCCTGCTCCGACATGAGTATAATGGTTAAGTCCAAATTTTGCTTTGAGAAAACACAAATATATATGTCCGACCGAAAGGTAAAATAGGAGGTGCACAATGGTACTAAGTACATGTAATAAAGAATCTGAAAGTATCATTAAATTTTATTCAGTTGTATAAAAGGAGTTGCAGATAAGAGATGGGAACCCCCAATATTAAAGAAAGAATGGCAGTGTCCTTCCATGTTTTGCTACGAGAAACCCCAAATATCTGTCTGATCGAACTGTAAAATAGGAGGTGCACAATGGCACAATGTAAGAAAGATTCTGTGGAAGTCTTATTAAATTTTATATTAAAAGGTATTGGAAGAGTTGAGGGTGAGAGATAGGTATCCCCAGTACTATAAAAAGAATGGCAGGGACCATGTTTTGCTATGGGAAACCCTAAATATCTGTCTGATCGAAAAGTAAAATAGCAATATGTAGTAAAGATTCTGCGAAAGTCATTAAACTTTATTCAGTGATATAGGAGTTGCAGATAAAAAATGGACTATGTGAGAAAGATTTTGTGAAAGTCTTATTCAATTGATATAGGAGGAGTTGCAGATAAAAAATGCGTTCCCCAGTATTATAGAAAGAATGGCTGTGTCCATGTTTTGCTATGAGAAACCACAAATATCTGTCCGATCGAAGTGTACAAGAATAGATATGGGTTACCCCATATCCAAGATACTCGACTTTTAATTTATTCGAATTTTCATTGTGTTCAGATGATTTCTAATAAAAAAAACAAGTATTTACTGACAAAACGTCAGAGATACTCAAGCTGTAGAAAGTCAACTATAAAAGTGCCATATACATAAATATCCTAAAATGACATAATATTTAGGCTACTGAGTTTCAACATCTTTTGTTGAGTAAAATATGCATATAGTAGGAAACAAACTGCATGTACATATATAACGTTACATGCATGTAGTGACTTTATCACAAATTTGCACATGCATAAAAATAGTTTTAATTTCACATAGAACATAAACTAAATATAATTAATCGTATAATTTTAAAAACGTATTTAACGCCTCACTCATTTTCAGGAATATTTAATCCAAATAGCATGTTACAGGCCTATAGCAACGTTTTCAAAGTGAGGGGGGGGGACTCCCAAAAAATCCCGCGTACTATGGGCCTGTGCTACATGTGTACCATCTAACTTTGCAATGATAGAATCTTCTGTAAAAAAAAAAATTCAAAACAAGTCCAAGCCGTTATGGATTATCAAAGATAGCCCATTTTTATAAATAGCAAAACTTTAGATCTATCAAGGATAGATTTTAATTTATTTTTTAATTTTGTGCTATTAAAAAGTACTATCACTCAAACCTGTCACCTTTTAGAGTAATCAATGAACTCGTCCAGTGATGCATTGACGGCCGTTGTTAAACGCAAAGGAAAGCGCAAGATCGGTTGCGGCTATGGAGCATCACTGAATATTCCTCCACCATATACTGATTTTGAATATACAGACGTTTTGAAGATAAACTTCATTTTTGTTTCTAGAAATGTTTTTATTTACAAAAATAGTACATTTTCGTGTTAGATCGATGACCATAACTCAGCCCCTCTAGCCCAGTATAAGGCTTCACCTTGAGTAAAAAACCTGCACTTGTTATGAAACTGGTGTATAGTTCTAAACTTCTTTATGTCCGTAGCAAGTACTGATACTCAGTCTACTGATCTAAGCGTCACTAGGGAACGGTGCACACACCTATTCTTGCAAGACCAAATAGCCTAGGTCTACACACGAGCGAAGATCTTTCCGAGCTCGGAAAACCATTCCGTTATTTAAAAAAAGAGAGAGAAAAAAACACACACACAGTTAATAATTTTAAAACATTCTAACTCAAAAGAAAATATACGGCAATTAACGAACAATAATTATGACGATCATGACATGTAATATAATTGGTGAAAAGATTTATCATTATCAATCGAAGTGTGACCTATATATTTTCGTGAAAAAGACTGAGGAGGCAGCGAGCATAGGAATATGAAAACTTCTTATTTGCTTTTCTGGGGAAAAAGTGATTTTCTAAAAATCTTTTAACGTTAATTTTGTTTTCTTTAACGTATTAAATATACATGATTATTCTTAATATTTGTTGTAATGTTTTATCTACTGATCATGTACCTAATGCTTGAGTTCTTAAACCATGGGTCATGAATCGGAGAACTTAAACAGAAGGAGAAATGCTTATTAGTTTGTCGGACAGACGTCGAAACTTTTTTTTTTAAATTCGTCTTTGTACATGCTATAATTTGATGCTTTAGGTGAGGTTTGAATGATTGCCAAGTGCCAACTTTGTTTGAATTAATCAATTAATGCGAACCATTTTATACACACTTTCGCCACAAAACTCCAGTAAATTTTGGAATAAGATAAAAGAAAATAAATCAAAGAAAACTAATGCAGAAACAATTGGAATTTCAGAATTCGTTGACCACTACAAATCCTTACTGAACATTCAATATACTGATGAAGAGAGCTTGAAATACAAGTACACTGAACTAAATACTGAACCAAATCCATTAGACTTTTTGTTTACTCAAGATGAAATAGAACAAAGCATTTTAAAGCTGAAAAATGGTAAAAGTGCTGGGCCTGACTTAATTTTAAATGAGTTTATTAAAACAAACAATACTACCCTTTTACCTGTCCTTACAAAACTGTTTAATATTCTACTTAAAAATGGAAAAATGCCCAAAGAATGGAACCTTTCACTTATAACATCATTATACAAAAATGGTGATCCTAATAATACAAACAATTATAGGGGTCTCAGTGTTACAAGTTGTTTAGGAAAACTTTTTACAGGCCTTCTACAGAAACGCTTAGATAATTATCTTGAGTCAAATAACCTACTAAGTCAATATCAATCTGGATTTAGAAAAGGTCATAGGACCACTGACAATATATTTGTACTAAAAACACTTGTAAACAAATATCTTTATACAAAGAAACAGAATTTATATGTGTGCTTTGTAGATTTTTCAAAAGCATTTGATACTGTGTGGAGATCTGCACTTTTATACAAATTGAATAAAAAGGGTATTGGTGGTAACTTTCTCAAACTTTTGACAGACATGTATACAAATACATACTATTCTTGTAAAAAGGACAATCAAATGAGTGAAAAATTTAAAGCTAATAGAGGAGTCAAACAAGGTGATAATTTAAGTCCAACACTTTTCAATATCTTTGTTGATGATTTTGTGAATTATCTTAAAAATGTAAGCACAAATCCTGCATATCTAGATACTTTGCCAATAAATCATATGTTTTTTGCTGATGATCTGGTCCTTGTATCAGAATCAGAAGTTGGTCTACAAAACTGTATAGATGTTTTAGGAAAATATTGTTCAGACTGGAAATTGTGTGTTAATATGGATAAAACAGATGTTATGATTTTTTTCAAGAAAAACAGATGATGAAACATCATTTAGATTTTATTACAATCACCAAATGATTAACATAATGAATGAATATAAATATTTGGGTGTTGTGTTCAGATCTGATGGAAAAATGAAATTTGCAGCTGAACAACTATCAGAACGTGCTAGGAAAGCATATTATGCTATTAAATCAAATTTTCCTGCAAACATTAATTTTTCAGCTGAAATTATGTTAAAATTATACCAGTCAATGATAATACCAATTATTACATATGGATCTGAAGTATGGATAACTGACTTCAAATGTGATTTAATGTCTTCAGACCAATTTCCTTTTGAAAAAACACAACACTTAATATTTAAAGACATACTAGGGGTACATAGAAAGGCATCAAATCTTGCTGTTTTATGTGAATTGGGTCGTTTTCCTTTGTACTATTTATGTTATGAATATATGTTTAAATATTTTAAGAGACTTAAGGAAATGGAAAACAAACATGATTATAATAATTATTTAGTGATTTCTGCATTTAAAGAAGACAAAAAACTTGTATCTAGAATATCTTGGCAAAGAAAACTGTCTTCATTACTACAAAAATTAAATATCACTTCTTTGGATATTTCTCACACAACCTTGAAAAACAAATTACAAGAGCATTACCAAAACAAGATACATGAACAACTGAAAAATATAAGCAAATCAAACTCTGGAAAGTTAGCTTTTTATAGTAAAATTGTAATTCAAAATGAATACAAATTGCAAAGTTATTTAAAGCTGCCTTTAAAGAAAAGTTTTAGATCTGTATTAACAAAATTAAGGATCAGTGCCCATCCATTGTATATTGAAACGGGCAGATACTGTAAACCCCCTATTCCTAGAGAAAAACGTTTATGCTATTCATGTAAATTATTTATTGAAGATGAAAAACATTTTGTTCTATACTGTTCAAAGTATGACCAATTTAGATGCAATTATACTGATATATTTAATGTAAACACATATACTAGTGATAATCCCATTAGAAAAATTGTCAATCCTACAAATATTACAACTGCTAGAAGGATATGTTGTTTTTTGAAAAAGTGCTTTGACACCAGAAAAGAAAGTCAGCAATGAATACTTAGAAATATGTGAATATACTCTACATTATTTTGTTCAACTCACATTTGTCATTTTGTATATGTATGTATTATTCTTGTTAATTCGTTTTATGTCATGACTGTATGCCGACATGGTAATTGTCAATAAAGTGAATTGAATTATATTATGCTTGCTTTGTTCAAGCCAAATATTAGATAGTCCACAATTGTTCAAAATATTTCTAATATTTTCAAAACAACCGATTTTCCCTCCTATTTCTTCATTTATAATAAATCCTAATTCAAAGTATGAATTTGCAATTTTTGTTTCCTTTCGGGTAATTTATTTTGACCAGAAAGATATCCTGCGTCTGTTTATTTGAATTTCCATGGGAGA